AACCCAGAAATCCGCGCGCAGCGCCAAAAGTTCATGCTTATGTGGTTGTATTCCTCTTCTTCTTCTTCTTTTTCTTCTTCTAGGTTTGCCATCGAGAGCGCTGACTTCTGCAACGCCCCGGGGGCATGTTTGCCGGAGGGCCGAGAACGGCACAGGCACCCACCTGCGGAGGGGCGCCGGCCACCCCTGGCGGCGCACCCCAGGCGCGCCGGCTCCTCGATCGAGGCGGATGTTAGGAGGCAGCTGCTGGGAGGTTTTCGTCGGGAAGATTAAGGAGAATCAAACCCCATTTGGGAGCCGTTACACCAGAAGGGGTCTCGGACAATGCAGGATCAAGCCGGATTAAGCCGGACCTCGAACCAGGGCAAAACCAGAACTTGACCTCCCAGGAGTTGCTTCCGAACGGATGGGAGGCGGGAGGCCTCCCGCTTCCCTTTCTATTACCAAGGCCACGCTAACGGCGGTGCTGCTTAAACGTGCTTTTTGGAACCGAACTGTCGGAAATCACGAACCACACTTTCCTCAATTTCCGATCTGCGGAAAATCGAACGAACAAAAAACACGGTGGATTGTAGGAGAGCGCGAGCCGCGCGTTCCCACAACACCGAAACCTACATTGCCGTTACCTGCATCGCCGTTAGCGCGTCTACGGTATTATTAGGTCAGGCATGTCCTTCTACAGGCGCATTTGGGAGGACAACTTTCAGCAATCCGCCGATCCGGCGTGTGAGTTTGTCAGAGAGTGGGCTTGAGCTCGCTCAAGCTTCGCTCTGGAGAGGGGGGAGGGGGGACGAATTCCAACGCAATTCAGTGAACGTACAAGCTCTGGAGAGGGGGGGGGGACGCTTCGCTCTGGAGAGGGGGGGGACGAATTCCAACGCAATTCACTGAACGCACAAGCCCCCAGGGGGGGTGGGGGGGAATCCCAACGGAATTCACTGAACGCACTCTGGAGAAGGGGGAAGGGGGGGGACGCTTCGCTCTGGAGAGGGGGGGGGGCACGAATTCCAACAGAATTCACTGAACGCACAAGCCCCCCCGCTTTCCACACATACCCACTTCCCTCTCTCCGAGAGGCATCTTCTTCTCTGACCTCCCCCCCCCAAAAAAATAGGCCCCCCCCTTCAAGGACAGACCCCACCCCTCTCCGACAGACCCCCTTCCCCCCTCTCCGAACAGATCCCCCCCCCGTTCACCGACAACGATTCCCTTCTCCGACAGACCCCTCCCTTCTCTCCAACCGCCCCCCCTTTCTCCGACAGCCCCCCCCCAAGAACAGCAGCACAAGCAGCAGCAGCAGCAGCATCAGACTCCCCCTCTGCATCTTGACAAATCTCTTCCTCTCTCCTGCAACTATCTTCCCCCCCCTCCCCGACAGACCCCCCTCTCCAAGACAGACACTCCCTCCCCCGGCCCCCCTCCCCAAACGGACCTCTCCCGCTTCCGCAAACCCGTCCCCCGTCCTCTCCGACCCCCCCCCCATTCTTTTCTGACACACTTGCTCTCGCTTTCTCCGATAGACTCCACCCCCTCTTCCCCTTCCCCCCCTACACCGACGTCTCGCGCTTTTGCGCCCCCCCCATCCAAAACAGACCCCCCCCACCCCTTCCGACGTATCCCTTTGAGCTCTTCCGCTTTCTCTCCTACAGCCCCCCCCTCCAGGACAGACCCCCCCCCGTTCCCCTTCCGGCACATGCCTTTCCGCTCTTCCGCTTTCTCTCCTACAGACCCCCCCCGCTCTCACAGACACCCTCCCAACTCCGAAAGACCCCATCCACCCTCCAGGACAGACCTCGCCTCTCCGAGAAATCGCCTTCCTTCTTTCCGACAGAGCCTCCCCCCTGTCCTGGACAGACGCCGCCGTCGCTCCCACACTTTCCCCGCCCTTTCTCCCAACAACAGACCCCCCCCCTCTCCCCTTCCGACTTATCCCTTTCCGCTCTTCCGCTTTCTCTCTCACAGACCCCCCCCTCGCTCTCACAGACACCCCCCCCCACTCCGACAGACCCCCCCCTCCAAGACAGGCCTCACCTCTCCGAGAAAACTCCTTCCTCCTTTCCGACAGAGCCTCTCTCCTGTCCTGGACAGACGCTTCACTCCCTCTCACACTTTCCCCGCCCCTTCGACCGACACCCCCCCCTCCCCCAAACAACAACCCCCCCTCTCCCCTTCCGACATCTCCCTTTCCGCTCTTCCGCGTTCTCTCCTACAGACCCCCCCCCGCTCTCACAGACACCCCGACAGACCCGCCCCCTCCAGGACAGACCATCTCTCCGAGAAATTCCCTTCCTGGACAGACCAGACCCTGACCTCTCTCCCACACTTCCCTCCCCCCTTCGACAACCACCCCTCCCCCACCGAGAACAGCTCAAGCAGCAGCAAAAACGTCAGCACCATAATCAAAAGCAGAACCAGCAGCATCAGCAACATTACTCGCGCACAGCCACAGACGCATCCCAAACGGCCCGCGACGACTCGCAGACATACCCCCTAAGTTTAGAGCAGACCCCACCCACAGACCTCTCCTGTTACAGATCAGATCCCCCCCTCCCCGACCGATCGCTTCCCCCCCTCTTCGACATACCCTCTGGCCTCCAAGACAGACCCCCCCTCCCCCGGCCATCCCGCACCCACCTCCGAGATGTTCCGAGATAGCCTTAGATGCATCAAACTGAATCCGAAGATGCTTCAAGAGGCCCCGAGACCGCCCCAAGACGGCTCCAGACACCAAATTGCTCCCCAAAGAACCTTCCAAGAAAACAGCATCCTTCGAACACCGACGGAAAACTAATCAAGTCTGCCCCTCGTCTTTTCTCTTCCGATGACCACCCGAGGCCCCAGGATGCCTCCAAAAGACCCCCAGAGGGACCCAAGAGCGCCCAAGACAGAAACCCAAGAGAGCCCCAAGGCCGCCCTAAAAACGCCCCCCCCTGTCACAGACACCCCCGCCCACTCCGAGACCCCACCCTTCCTCCAGGACAGACCTCACCTCTCCGAGAAATCTCGTTCCGTCTTTCCCGACAGAGCCTCTCTCCTGCCCTACACTGACCCCGCCATCTCTCCGACCCCCCCCCCCTCTCCTTCCTTCCGACAACTATCTCCCCTCTTCTTTCCGACTGACCACTCTCCCCTCCGACAAACCTCCCCTTCGACAGACCCCCCAACAAGAGCAGCACAAACAGCAGCAGCATCAGCGACAGCACCAACAGCAGAACGAGCAGCATTACTCGCGCACGGCCACAGGCGCAGCATCATCATCATCATCATCATCATCATCATCATCATCATCATCAGCAGCATCAGCATCATCATCAGCATCAGCATCATCATCATCATCATCAGCATCATCAGCAGCATCATCTTCACCATCATCATCATCAGCAGCAGCAGCACCATCATCATCATAATCATCCTCAACAACATCAACATCAGCATCATCCGCAACAGCAGCATAATCAGCATCAGCATCAGCATCATGACCAGCATCAGCATCATCAACATCATCACCATCAACATCACCATCACCATCACCATCATCATCATCGTCATCATCATCATTACCAACATCATCATCATCATTATCCTCATCATCATGATCAACATCATCACCATCACCATCACCATCACCATCATCACCATCACCATCACCATCACCATCACCATCACCATCACCATCACCATCACCATCACCATCACCATCATCATCATCATCATCATCATCATCATCATCATCATCATCATCATCATCATCATCATCATCATCCCCCGAAATGCCCCGGATCGGCGGCACTGGCTGGAGACCACTACAATACGGAACGTATGTTCAAACATAGTCGGACAATCACGGACAACAGAACAATACTTTTTGGGGAGTATTCCTCCTGTAGAGGGACATGCCCGACTTCATTCGATTATCAAACCAATACCCTCCCCTTCAGTTGCGATAGAAAGGGAATTTCTGAATGGAACGGGTCCTTTTCACTGACGCCTCGGTCTGCACCCCGGGACCGCCTGACCACCTCTTCACCCCGAGTCGTCTTCCTTGCCGTCGCTCGGACGCCCATTTCCCGTGCATGTTTCGGTTTCGTACGTGGTTGTTTTGCTCGATGGTCCTCGATGGTGCTCGCCGAGGAAAAATGCACATGTCCGAGCGATGCCAAGGCTTCGGACGGCCTCAGAGCCCGTGGAGGCCCCGTCCCGCCCGAACCCCGTGGCAGAAGCCTCCGGGACCCGTATCCCTCAGGACCTGCTCCGCTCCGTGGCGAGACTGCTCTGAGACGGGGCGGGCGACGAGGCGGGCGAGACTCGTGTCCATGTCCGCTGCGGAGGAGGAGGAGGAAGAGGAGGAGGAGAAGAAGGAGGAGGAGGAGGAAGGGGAGGAGGAGGAGGAGGAGGAGGAGGAGGAGGAGGAGGAGGAAGAGGAGGAGGCGGAGGAGGAGGAAGAGGAGGAGGCGGAGGAGGCTTCCCCAGACACCCGAGGGGCGCAGCGGATGTGGGGCAGCCGTGTGGCCCCGGAAAAAAAAAGGCTGCATGGCTGCACCTGTCCACTGCGCCTCGGCCCTGCGGCGCTCCTACCCAGCAAACGTCCAAGACGCAGTCGAAAGACGTAGACAGAGACATGAAGTAGGAACAAGTAGGTAGAAGCATGCAGTAGGAAGGCGCTGAGAGTACACTGGGTCTCGTCCGCCCCCTCAAGGAGGACGGAACAGGCGAAGCCACTCGATCGCTGAAGTAGGAAGGCCTTTGAAGTAGATTGGGATATGTGAATTCACCAAGTGCCTACTTTCAACGAGCGATGGGTTATGGATATGGCTATGTTGCACGCCCGAAATATCCGGGGTAATTCGGGTCCGGGATAACTCGGGTTCGGGCTCCCGAAAAACGAACCCGGGTTAGCCCTGACCCGAATTACCCCTGATGATTCGGGGCTCTGACTATGGCTGCTGCCCGCAGATAAGAGACGGGGAGGCGCTCCGCCCGGCCCTGGCTTGCGGGCGGTCCTCGGCCTGCTGGCCGATCGTGGCCGCGGACTTCTCCAGCTGCGACCTCATGGAGGAGACCTGCCCGGGGGTGCTGCCAGCAGTGCCCCGAGGCGCGAGGTGCCCCCCAGGGGAGGGGGGGAGGCAGGTAGGAGGGGGAGGAGGAGGGGGAGGAGGGAGAGGAGGAGGACGAGGAAGAGGAGGAGGAGGAGGAGGAGGAGGAGGAGGAGGAGGAGGATGAGGTGGGGAGGAGGAGGAGGACGAGGGAGGGAGGGAGGGAGTGAGTAAGTAAGGGAGGGAGGGAGCTCCAAACAAATCGGCGAAACGCTGGAAGCACCTTGGGCCAAGGGCCCCTGAGCCTGGGGCGACCTGGGCCATTGGAGATAACCCCGCGCGCCCAAGAGGCCACGACCACTCTCTCGGGATCGACACGGCTGGACTCGCCTGGAAATCCTGACAGAGGAGGAGGGAAGAGGAAGGGGGAGGAGGGAGGAGGTCGGAGAGAGAGAGAGATAGAGAGCGAGAAAAACAAAAAGAGAGAGAGAGAGAGAGAGGGAAGGAGAGGCGGGCAGAATGGAGGAGGCAGAAGTAGAGAAGGAGAGGGAGAACGGGCAGGAGGGGGGGGCGAGAAGGGGGACCAGAAGGAACCCAGGATGCGTCCACGACGCTGCAGTACACTCTCCCGCACCGAGAGTCCCCTCCCCAGCAGTCCTTGCAGACAGATTCCGTTCCGTTGCGGGAGGCCCCGTCGCCAGACGAGCGTCTCGCCGGCCTGCCACTCACTCGGGGCCCTGGTATGCAACAATTCCATGTTCAATCCTTCTGCCCATGCCAGATGCAAAAGACTGCAAAATCAAGAGGACACACGACGTGTCAAACGGAAACGCCGTTTTGGCACACAAAACTACTTTCCCGTCGTGCATGCTGCGCGCATGTTCACAAGCATTGAACTTTAATCAAGAGATGCTTCGAACGAAAACCTCATGTTAAAAAAGAGCCGAGCCCAACCCGTGTAGGTATTCTCAGTTTGCGGTATGTTGAATGTTTGGCCATGACGTGCCAAGAACCTCATACAGGAACCCCATCTTGCGAAGGAACCGCCCTCCATGAATGGAAGGGCTGGAAACGTTTGAGACGACTGTGCGTGGCGCAAAAAGCGAAACTGGAACTCCAAAACGAAACGCCCCCCATCCGTGCATCTGTTGAAAATGCTTAAAACGAGTGCGCACGGCGCCAAGACGAAACATTCATTGCTACCCCTCCCGCTCCATCCGCGTAACTGGCGGAGATTTTAATACGAGTGTGGGCAGCGGGAAGGGAGGAGAATCCAACTTCTAAAACCCGACCAACCCTTTGTGGCTTGAGTGGTTTAGCGGGCTTCTTCTTCCGACCGCCCTCTACCTCGCCGGGATGGGGCTCATCACTGCCCCCTATGTGTGACCACCCCCTCCCCGAGGCAACCAGCAGCCAACCAGGACCACTGAGGACCCCCCCCCACCATCCCTGTCAAAAAAAAAATCCGCTTTGGAATGAAATCTTGGGTCATGATCGGGGGGGGGGGCGCGAGCACTTTGTAGCTTTTTGACAGGGACGGAGGTTGCGCTCACATTGCCTGCTGTGCGCAGGGCCAGCATGCCTGTCAAACAACAAAACATCACTTCGAGGCAAAATCTTGATCATGCGCGGGCACCCCACGATCACTGCGCAAGTGTTTTGACTGGGACGGCGGGGGTGCTCGAATATTGCCTGCTGTGTGCAAGCCCACCAGACACTATGATGGCGCCGCGATTGCACACTCGTTTTCGACAAGGGTGGCTGGGGCCGACACGTTTCCCGATGTGTACTGCCACGTGCGCAGGCGCACCTGGCACACTCTGCGAGTGCTATGAACGTGGCGGAACTGGCGCTGCTGGAGCGTGCGGCACACATGGCGCACGTAGATCACGTGGCGCATTTGGCGCACCAGGCGTGCCTGCCACGCTTGGGCCACAGGGGTGCCTGGCGCACCTGACGCGCGTGGCGCGCCTGGCACGCGTGGCGGACCTCGCCCCAGCGTTGTCTTGGTTCACATTAGCTGCCCATCCTAAGACAACCACCGAACATTCTGAGGCCCCGGTGCTACTTCTGTCTCGGGCTGGCGGGCGGGAGTGATCACTTTCCTTATTATTGGGCACCCCCTCCCCCAGACGACCGGGGGCCAACCCGACCCCATGCCGACACCATGCCGACCCGCTCCACACCATCCCTTACAAAAAACAGTACAAACCGCACTCTGCCTCCACATTTGGAGCATGCGCGGCCAACAAGATGCGCCCCCCCCCCACCATCTCTTTCAAACAACAATGCAGAGTACACTTTGGGGCACAGTCTTCAGTCATGTTCGTGAGGCCCGCGAGCACTTTGTATTGTTTTTGGACAGGACGGCGGGGGGGGGTCAGCATATTCCCTGCTGTGCGCAGGGATACCCTCTCTGACAAAAAACAATACAACATGCACCTCTCGGCCAACTCTGGATCATGCGCGGACACCCCGCGATCACTGTCAAGTGGTCTTTGACAGGGACGGCGGGGGTGGTGGCGCGTGGCCTGCTGTGCGCAGGCCCACCAGACACAATGATGGGTATCGGTTTTCGACATGGATGGCGGGGGCCGACATGTTTCCCGATGTGTGCTGTGATGTGTGCGGGCGCACCTGGCGCACTCGGAGCACGTAGCGCGTCTGGCGCACCAGGCGTGCCTGGCACGCTCGGGCCCCAGGGGTGCCTGGCGCGCCGCGGTGATGGGGTTTCCGCGGTCGTTGGAGCGTCCACGATGGCCTCGGCGAGAATGCCAAACTTACCAATGTTACTAAGGTTTGGGGCCACATGTTGGCCTCGTGGGGGGCGGAAACCTGGTTAAGAAGCCCCCCCTTCCGTTGATTGATCTCCTCCAAGATGGCCGCAAGATGGCCCCGGAGGCTCCCAAGGGTGCCCCAAGAGGTACCCAGGAGGCCTCAAGAGGCTCCCAAAGAGGCCATTGAGAGGTCCTTAAGAGGCTCCCCAGAGGCACCTAAGACGCCCCAAGCGGCCGCCTTGAGGCACCCACGAAAGCGCTTTCCAGGGGGAGGGGCCTGATTCAGGAGCCCCCCTCCGTTGACCCGTCTCATCCAAAATTACCCCAAGGAGGAGGAGGAGGAGGAGGAGGAGGAGGAGGAGGAGGCTCCCAAGGGTGCCCCAAGAGGGCTCCAAGAGGTGACCAGGAGGCCCGACGATGCCCCCCAAGAGGCTCCCAAGGCGTCCCAAGAGGCCCTCCAGAGGCACCCAGGACGCCCCAAGAGTCCTCGGCTAAATCACCATAATCATTGATCTGGGGCTGGCCCTGGACTAAGGAGCCCCCCGCCTTTGATCGATCTCCTCCAAGATGGTCCCAAGATGGCCCCCGAGGCTCCCAAGGGTGCCCCAAGAGGGCCCCAAGAGGTGCCCAGGAGGCTCCAAGAGGCCCACAAGGTGCCCCCAAGAGGCTCACAAGAGGCCCCCAAGAGGATCCAAGAGGCCCCCCAGAGGCACCTACGACGCCCCAAGGGGCCCCCTGGACTTCCGAGGGACCCCCAGGACGCCCCAAGAGGACTATAAGAAGCTCTCGAAAGAAATCCGAAGAGTCCCAGAAGCATCCAAGAGACCTCTGGCCTATCTGCCCGTCCTCTTCCTCCTCCTCCTCCTCCTCCTCCTCCTCCTCCTCCTCCTCCTCCTCCTCCTCCTCCTCCTTCCCTCCTCCTCCCCCCTCCTCCTCCTCCTCCTCCTCCTCCTCTAATCCACCTGTTCCTTCTCCTTCCTCGTCAGTCTGCCCTCCCTCCCGTCTCCTCCTCCTCCTCCTCCTCCTCCTCCTACGCCTCCTCCTCCCCCTCCTCCTCCTCCTCCTCCTCCTCCTCCTCCTCCTCCTCCTCCTCCCCCTTCGCATCTTTCCTTCTGGGGCATGACGTTTTACCCAGCCCCCTTATTCCACTGCGTTCTCCTCCACATCACTGATCAGGTCAACTCGTCTGGGCATAGATTCCGAATGGCCACCTCCTGCGCTGATGCAAGGCATCGCAGAGGCGGTCAGGGGGCCGTCCATGTGTGAAATGAAGCCTGCGGGTGCCCCCATCAATGCTGTATGGAGGCGCCCACCCGTCATTTCTGTCGGGGCGGCCCAACAGACGTCGAGGGCTGCCATCGGCTTGTCGATCTGGCAATGAAGCCTTTCAATAAATTGGCCAACACTGCGGCAGAGACGAAGAGGAAGCGGACAACACGGAAAATTAATATTGATCCATCTTCTCCAGACTAATGTGTTCCGCTGTTCGTGCTTACACTTGCATGATCCTCTCTCGTCCACCACCCCCTGCCAGCAGGTCCACGACCAATGCCCTCCCTGGGAAGGGGAAGGAAATGGAGCACGAGGCGCAACGCGAAACCCAACGTGTCGACCTGCGACTCCTTCCCGATCTTCTCGTCCTCGCCGCTCGGCCGCCGACGCCAACATGGCTTATTGAGTGAGCGGATGCATAATTGCCTAGAAGATCCGAGGGATGAACGGATCCTCCTCCACCTCCTCCACCTCCTCCTCCTCGTCCTAAGCAATCACTTCCTACTTACGACGAAGCCAAGACAAGGAAAACATCGAACCGTGACACATCGGGTTTGCTTAGATCCAGCGGTTCTGGAATATACATCTGGCGCCGCAGCCTCGCCAGAACGCTCTAGAACAATCCACGCTCTGCAACGACTTCTCCCTGTCCTAGCCCCGCCGGAATACTCCTCTCGTCCCTCCTCCTGCTCCTCGCACCCTCGAGGTGGAATGAAACACGTAGTGCATCGATCAAGATCAATGCTGCCAGGTCCGGCACAATACGCTCTTGCGGAGCGTGGCGCGCACAGCGCCGATGGCAGGGAGGAGGAGAGAGATCGAGGTTGGATGCGCAAGGTGAGGAGGGGGAATCAGAGCTTGTGGTGAGGGGTGCCACGAGAACCAGGAGCGGGATCGGGGAGGTGACGAGCCGTGAAGAGAGAACGCGGAGGAGGCCAAGGAAAGGCAGGAGGTGAAGAGGAAGGGGGCCGACAAGCACTCGAGTCCGACCGGGGGATGGCTCTCGCTCCTCCTGCACTGTCGAACTCCCCCCCTCTCCTTCGCCTCCAGGGCCCGTGCCTGCAAACAGGCGCATCCATTAATAAGGGCTCCCAACTTCGCGCTTCGCGCTGCGCGAAGCGCGAAGCGCGAATAACTTCGCGCTCTCGCGCCGCCCCCCCAAAGGGAGAATAGGAGGACGAGGAGGAGGGGGAGAAGGAACGAGGACCGCGAAGCGCGAATAACTTCGCGCCCTCGAGGGAGCCCTTGATTAAGGGCACTGGCGCACTGACTCCAGCCGCGTTTGCCCACAGTAGAGGTATCCGAGCTGGGGTCCGAGCAAATGGGGTCGGAGGATCGCGTCGCATCGCCGATGCATCCCAAATGCATAATCGACGCGTCGCCGATGCATGAACGATGCATCGCCGATGTCGGCGGTGCATCGGCGACGCCAGCGCGGAGCATATATCAGGCTCCACATCAAGCCGCATCGGCGATAGATCGGCGATGCGGCGGAAACCTCCGATTCCATCTACTCGGACCCCAACGTGGAGGCCTAGACACAGGCCCTTCGTGGTGGCGACGCGCACGTCGGGCCTCCTCTCCTCCTTGCTCGCTGCGCGGACTCCAAGCTGTGCTTGTAGCGATCCTTTCCCCTCCTCCTCCTCCTCCTCCTACTTCTCCTCCTCCTCCTCCTCATCGCCCTCCTCCTCCTCCTCCTCCTCCTTCCCCTCCTCCTCCTCCTCCTCGGAGGAACAACAACTTGCGTGAGCACAAGCTATCGGAGGGCCGCGCGGAGTTCTTGGATCGGCGCTGTACCCCCGCTCCTGGCGAACGGAGCAGGCCACGGGCGGTGCCCGAGGCGCCACAAAGGAAGCCCAGCGCGGAGCCAAACCAAGAAACCCGCACGAAACTCCGAAACCGTGCCTGTGTGTGTGTCTCTGTGTGTCTCTGTGTGTGTTTACACCTTTCCTCGCCCTCTTAGGCCACCAGAAATCCTCTCATCCCGCTCGTCCTCCAACTTTCTGGCGTTGCGCGGACATAGATCAGATGGTCGCTGCGTCTTGTGGCCAGGAAATAATGGAGAGGCCGATGTAGGCATGAGACAAACAATTTACGCCTGGCTGGCGCAGCGGAATATGGGAGCCGCAATGGCTAAGTAGAGGGAATAGTGCCCGCGAAGGCAAAGAGTAGGCGCCAGCCAGACAGTGAAGTAGAGAAAGAAGAAAGAGGTCGAAGCGGCGACCTCCTACTCCTGCTCCTCCCTCTCCATTTTTCTCTCTCTCTCTCTCTCTCTCGCCGCCTCTCGCCCCAGAGGAGAAGGAGGAGGAGGAGGAGGAGGAGGGGGAGGAGGAGGGGGAGGAGGAGGAGGAGGGGGGAGGAATGGGGGGGGAGGGGGGAGGGGGGAGGAGGAGGGGGAGGAGGAGGAGGGGGGGGGGAGGGGGGAGGAGGAGAGGGGAGGTAGGAGGGGGAGGAGGAGGCCCCCGCCCCCCCCCCCCCCCGCACCACGGACCCCGACCACGGCGAAGCGGCGGCAAACAGGAGGCCGCGGCGCTCTCCTCCAGCTGTGCTTGGAGCCTGCTCACCCTGGCGAGCAGCTCCTGGGAGCTGGAGGCGTGGTGGATCGTCTCCTCGGCCATGAGGGAGAGGAGGAAGTCAGGGCATCGAGGATAGACACTCTCTGTCGCTTGCTTTTCCCCTCGCCGCCTTGTCCTCCTCTGCCTCCGCCCCTTCCTCCTTCCCTCCCTCGCCCCCCCCCCTTCCTCATCGTCACGGCAGGAGACACACACGAGGAGCACGAGGGGCGATATCGGGTTGCCCTTCCATGTGCTTCTTGCATGTATTAGGGGGCATCCAGAAACCACCAGGGACCTCCGAGGAGAGCAGGGAGACAATGGGGGAGGAGGCAGGATGAGGGAGAACACAAGGGGCCTGAATAGGCCGGCATGAAGAATCGAGCGAACCTCCCCCACGATCAGCGAAACGTAACACTTAGGTGGATGTTCCTCCTGTGGAGGGACATGCCCCAGGTAAACTTAGGTTCTGGTGGGGGGGGGGTCAGACCCCGTGGGTCTGCAGAAGGCTGGCCTCCTCGCAACGCCCCGAGCGGCAGCGGAGGCACCGCCTATCTGGCGGCTCCCGGAGGCCGTGCGGGAACAAAAACCGTAGCCCCCCTCCCTATGCGTGCCCAAGGGACTTGAGGCTCTGTCCTCCTCCTCCTCCTCCTCCTCCTCCTCCTCCTCCTATTCCACATCCCTGCCTCCGCCTCCTCCTCCTCCTCCTCCTCCTCCTCCTCCTCCTCCTCCCTCCTCCTCCTCCTCCCCCTCCGCCCCCTCCTGGGGCCCGCAGCCCATGGGAACACCCCCAGCATGCTCTCTCGAGAGGGGTGCCTATAGAGGGCAGAAAGTCCCCCCCCATAATAATCACCCCGACACGTGAAGCCGTTTCGTAAACGCAGCCATCAGAAGAAATCGAAGAAGACAGGGCTGTTTAGTAAACGCAAAAGGCCGTTTAGCAAACGCCAATCATCAGGTCCGGGTGGACTATCCTCCCTTGAGTCTAGATGCTCCTAAATGGGGTCCGAAACGATGGGGTCGGAAGATCGCGGCGCATCGGCGGTACATCGGCGATGCGTCCGCGATGTATCGGCGATGCGTCGGTGACGTCGGCGATGCATCGGCGCTATCACCGTGGAGAAAGCCGGCCTCCACATCGAGCCGCATCCGCCGATGCACCTGCCATGCGGCGCTATTTCCCGACCCCATCTACTCCGGCCCCATCTGAGAGGCCTAGAGTTAGGTCGGGCACGTCCCCCTACAGGGAGATTTCGGGCGAAAAAATGAAAGATACAAAAACACAATGCTCAAAAATAGTCAACACATAAGCCCCGACTATTTTTTACGATTTTTGAATATTCCCCTGTAGAGGGACAGGCCCGACTTAAGCCTAGAGCCCAGAGAAAAAAACATAATCACATCATCTGGGGCCTTCGGTGGAGCTCCCTACGGGGCTACGAAACGCGTGAGGGGTGCGCCGAAACGGGCGAGACGCCCACATGCGAACTGCACCACTGAGACCTTCGGTGGACTCCTTCGGGGGGCAGAAAACGCGTGAGGGGTGTGCCGAAATGGAGACGACGCAGGGAGGGGAGGAGGGAGGGGGGAGGAGGAGGAGGAGGAAGGAAGGAACGCGGGGCGCTGTCTCTTCGAAGCGAGGAACCAAACTCACAACATCACATCATCAACTCCCCGACGTGCGCTGGACCCCGCCAGCGGCGCCTCCAGGGGCCGCCCCTGGCGCGCTGCGCGCGCCGGGAAGGAGGTCCCCGCGCGGGTCCGGGAGATCCGCGCGGACCTCCCGACGTTTGTGCTCCTGCCGCTGGCGCTCCCCTGCAAGCGTCGAAACCAATGGGCTCCTCCCATGGGAAGGGGAAGCCCTGAGATCCTGGCGTCACGACTTCTGAGGGCTGGGCGTTTTCGCTGGTCTTCGGGCCCCGGGACCCGCACAAATCGACGCGGCGCAAAGCATGACCAGAAAGATGGGACCTCGGGTTCCGGGCGTGACTTAGTCCGATGTTGCAGATATTTCCGCTAGGGTTAGGTCGGGCATGTCCCCCCACCGGCGGATGTTGGAGGAAATACGAAATATCCTCAAACGATAGCCAACAATAGTGAACAAATACTGCCAAAATCCTCCCCAGACGGTTTTTAGACTGCTTTTGAAGTTTCCTCTTTTGGCGGCGCGCAAAAGGGGGTAGGGGGAGGGGGGAAGGCTTCTTAGAAGCACCCCTGCTTCTTAGAAGGCCTCGGCCTTACGTCTATAGAGAAGGCCCGCGCCTTCTAAGAAGCAGGGGTGCTTCTAAGAAGCCTTCCCCCCTCCCCCTACCCCCTTGGGGCACGCCCGACCCAACGCCAGGTCGGATCTCAGGGAGGCTCCAGGGCCACAGCCCCCCCCCGGTGCGGCTGGCCTGCGCGCCGAGCCTGGCTGAGCAGGGACCGGCCGCCCCGGTACTCCTAGGCCTACCACTGAGTGTTCTTAGAACCCATAGCCTTTTTAAGAACAAAAACAAGGCTCGTAGAACATAAGCCCGATGTGCCAAACTGCTCTGAGAACGAAACACCTCTCGTATAACATAAGCCAGATGTGTTAAAACAGGGCAGTCCAAGCCAGCAGTGTTCTGAGAACATGTCGTGGAAACCACCAGCAAAATTCTTACAACATTGTTTGGTAGGCCTATAGGATAGGTCGGGCCTGTCACCCTAAAGGGGGATTGTGGGCGAAAAGAAAAAACCCTACACATACACCCCAAATGCTCATAAATACTCAAGAAATCGTCCCAAGACTACTTTTCGACGATTCTTGAATATTCCTCCTGTAGAGGGACACGCCCGACTCTTGCCGTCGCTCGGACGTCCATGTCCCATGCACTTTTCGGTGTCGTGCGTGTTTTTTTTATGCTCCATGGTCCAGGATGGTCCCCGAGGGCTCTCGCCGAGAAAAGATGCACACCTCCGAGCGATGCCAGGGACTTAACTATAGGCACGTCAGGACGCTGCGCCACTGCCTGCCGGGCGCGGCTGGCCTGCGCGCCGAGCCCGGGCCTCGGCGCGTGTGCCCGCGCGGCGACGGCGGGGTGGGTGCAAGGCGTGCCTGGCGCCGCCGGGCCAGGGACCCACCGAGCCAGGACACCGCCAGCCGTAAGTCGGGCCTGTCCCTCTACAGGGGGACAAGACGGGGTTTTTTTTTTTTTTTTTTTGAAATAGGGACTCTAAGTAAAAAACTAGGGACTATTTTTTTGAAATGGGGGCTACAGGGGGAAAAGACTGGGGACTCGAAATGAAAAAAAATAGTCGGGGGACAATGTTTGAATTATTTTTGAATATTTCTAAAATATTGTTTGGGGTATCTCTATTTTTTTCGCCCAAGATCCCCCTTTAGGGAGACGTGCCCGACTTAACGCCAGCTCTATACGCTCCCCGGAGGCTCACAGGGTGGGGATCAGACAAAGATCGGGGCTCCGGCGGGACCGAAAGACTTGCCCCCGCAGGTCGCAACATAAAGAGGAGGAGGAGGAGGAGGAGGAGGAGGAGGAGGACGAGTACGGATGTACGATGCGGAGGAGGAGGGGAAGGAGGATGAGGGGGAGGGGGAAGAGGGGGAGGGTGAGCAACGAACATAATATTTCGGAGTGTACGGATGCACGGAGCGACGGTGCTTGTTACAAAAACAAGCGTGTTGCTTGAGACATCCTCGAAAAGCTTCTGGTCGCGAACTCAGCGAATCTTCAAACACTTGCTGCGGGGACGAAAGAAGGGAAGGGGAGGCTCGAAACATTCAGCGTTTCGCTTAAGACATACACACATAAAACAATGCGATTCGCCTGAGAGATCATAAACTCGCGAACTCGGCAAATGACGCTGATACTGATACACATTATGGTGATGATGCTGATGATGATGATGACGGCAGCAATGATGAGACTGACAACCATGATAATATTATTCGATATACGATGCATACTTCCCCCAACGATCATGAAATTCGGCCCCGCCGCTACCCACCGCTGCCAAAAACTGTCTTGGCCGGGGATAACCATGAGGATCGTGGGAAGGAGGGGGGGTTCTGCTTTATTATCCAGACGAAGCTCGGACGAGTTCAAAATCGGGCGAGGATCTATCGAGAATCTCTGAGATCTGGCGGCTCTGGAGGATGTCTCGGGCGCCGCGGCCTTCTCAGAGCGCTCCAGAACGCTCTGAGAGCGTCCTGGAACGCTCTGGAACGAATTCATCCTCGTCCCAGCCCCGTGCGAACTGCTGACACGGACCTTGAGGACGAAGAGCGCCTCGACCCACAGCCGCAGCCTCCTCTCGGCTACACGCAAGAGTGACCCTGGGCAAGAGTGACCTTTGGCGCGCGGCTTTTGGGGGGCTACGGGGGGGGCAGAACTCAAACGCGCAAAACGCTACTACTGTTAGGCCGGGCGTGGCCCCCTACAGGCGGTCGGTTTTGATTGGGACGACCAATCACAAATAGCAAAAACAAATGCCCAAGAATAATCACAAATAGAAGAAAAATCGTCCCCAGACTGGTCTTCGAATAATTGTGAATATCCTTTCTGTAGAGGGACAGGCCCGACTGGCAGTCGCGCTCGGCAATCGGGGGCCCAGTGGGCCCGCACCAGAGAACACTCCGGCGTGCCTCGTCCCTTCAGGGATCGACTACTACGCTCAAACGTGTAGCCGATCATCGGTCGCGTCCACGTCCTGGTTTGCCAGAACGTCTGGGGGGGCCTCCTCCTCCTCGTCCTCCTCGTCCTCCTCCCCCTCCTCCTCGTCCTCCTCCTCCTCATCCTCCCCCTACCGATACCGCAACTCACCGGACCTCTCCCGAAGTACCTTCTCATCGGGGATGGACAGCGCGCCCTTTAGTGAAACGTGGTTCAGTGAAACCGACCTCGGGCCCAAACCTGGCTGGCGGGCGCAAGCCTGGAAAATGACAGCCGCGGCGCCCTCTCGAGAACAGAACAAAGACAATTCACTATTCGACGTGTCCGGGTAGGGTTTCTGTCCAGCCCCGATTCCACCAGACTTCCACCAGCCCTCTGGGCGGAGGTGGTTTAGCACGTTTCCTCGTCCATCTTCCCCCTGCTTCCCCTCCGTTAGGGTTTACCCGTCCTCCCAAATAGCCCCTGGTCGCGAGCGGTCAGAGCGCCCAGGATGGCCTCAGCCAGAAGGTAAACAACATTGATCGCTATACGTCCTTGTCCACGTTTAGCCTCCTGGGGAGGCACCGCCAATTGATGGCCCCAACCAAGACGGCCCCCAAAAACACAAAAGCCCCAAGAGGCCCCCGAGAAACCCTCAGGAGGCCCCAGAGGCCCCCAAGCGGCCCCAAAGCGGGCCCAAAGAGGCCCCCAAGAGGTCCCCAAGAGGACACAAGAGGTATCCCGATTACGCTACGTTCCCCAGATCGTGGTAGTTCGCTGCTCATTCTGGGACCTTCCTGGAACCACTCGCTCCACTCGTGCGTCGAAGCTGCGTCGAACGACCGTCGATTCGAGTCGACCTTGAGTCGAACCTGAATCAAGCCTGAGTCGAATTTGGGTCGCATTGGAATCCAACAGATCCGTTAGGTGTGCCCCAGGAAGGTCCACAGAAAGAGCATCTGATGGTAGCCCCCGTGGGCATCAGTCCTGGATGGGCTGGCGGGAATACTTGTCTGTTCGCGAGCGCGCAGGAAAGCCAAGCGCCGTCGAGAATCGCGGCTAACGAGCAGCGGACTACATTCCGCAAGGCTGGCGGGAATACGAGAAGCGTCAAGAATCTCGAGGAGAAGCCCGCCGTGGCGCCGAAGGTGCTCCAGGACGAACAATATCAATTGTCTGCCTCCGCCTCCTGCCATCGCTCGGACGTCGACTCCCCGTGCATCCTTCGGCTTCGCGCGTGTCTCTCTTCTCTCCCGCAGCTTGATCGTGGATGCTCCCGTGATCCCCGCCACGAGACAGTGCACACGCGCGAGCGATGCCAGAGCATCCCCCCTCTCCCTCCCCCGACCCACTCCGGGCGCGATGGCTCGCGCGGCAGCCGCCACTCCCGAGTGGGAGCGGGGCCGTGCCCCATCGCCCGTGTCGATGCAATCTCATTCCGACCTCCTCCTCCTCCTCCTCCTCCTCCTCCTCCTCCTCCTCCTCTCCCTCATCCTCCTCCTCCTCCTCCTCCTCCTCCTGCTCCTCCTCCTGCTCCTCCTGCTCATCCTCCTCCGCTTCCTCATCCTCCGCTTCCTCCTCCTCCTGCTCCTCCTCCTCCTGCTCCTCCTCCTCCTGCTCCTCCTCCTCCTGATCCTCCTCCTCCTGCTCCTTCTGCTCAGCATCCTCCTCCTCGTCCACTCCCCCCCCCGCACCCCGCCCCCTCTCCCGCTGCCGGGGAGCGCCAGGGGGAGACCGCTGCCGGGGGGGAGGGACACCTCGACCTGGAGTCGGCGGTGCGTCGCCGAGAGATCGGCGACCGGCCATCGACAGCGAATCCGCTCGTTCCTTGGGCGCGAGCTCATGGGGGGGGTCGTGACTACCTACCAGACCACCCCAACCCAACCCGAAGACCCGAATTTCGGGTTGGGGGGGGTAAGGGTTCCACATGTGTTTTTTCGATGTTTCCCGACCCCCCCCCCACTGGAAATCGAGGGTAAATCTGAGCCTTCGGGTTGGGTTGGGGTGGTTTGGTGGGTGGTGAGGTCGATGAAAGGGCGGGGGAGGGGAGAAAGGTGCCCTTGTTGGGCCCGAAAGGCTCTTCTGGTGTCCGAAAGGCCCCATTCAGGGCCCTGAGCGGGCCCCCTCAGGGGCCCTGAAGAGTTCCCTTTCTGCAACCCTTGCCGCCCCCCCCCCCCCACATGCATCGCCCCCCCAGCACGCGACGCCCAAACATCGCTGAGAGATCGGCGACCGGCCAACGACCTGGGCGGGGTGTGCTATCGGGCCCCCCCGCGGCGAGGAGTGTGCGACTGGGGGGTCGGCGCATCCCTCCCTGAGCCTCCCCCCTTCGCGCTGCCCCTGACAGCCTCCCCTCCCCTCCGCCCTGCAGGCTCCTCCTGGGTCGACAGCAGCTCGGTCCTCAGCTTGGCGTTCTCGATGTGGAGTCGCCTGATCTCCTGGCGGGCCACTCATCCCACGCCTCCCTCTTTCCAAGAGGGGGGCGAGCGGGAAACCGGAAGAATAGGCCACCGACGACGGGCACTCGAACCACCTGCGTGCCCCAGGGCCCGCTTGCAACCGAACGCTCTGGGTTAAGCCCCGCCCCCCTAGCCAACGTACATCATACATGACGAGAGGGAGAACGATGAAGAATAACGGAATAGGATGGAAGCCCTGAGAAAGCTAATAACTCAGCCTGCCCCCCCCCCACATCCGGCCCAGCCCGCACGCCAGCCGACTGAACGTGCCGCATCCAGATCTCGGGCCCACATCGACTCGTGGTCTCTTCCTCCAGGCTCAGTCCCCCACGCACACGCACACACACACACATTCACACACATTCACACACGATCGACGCAGACACACAAACATGCCCCTCATGGACACCGTGCTGACCAACCTCTTGAGCCGAGTCCAACCGTTTTGGTGCGAGAGTCTCCTCCACCCCACAGCCCCCCTCCCCCTCCTCCTCTTCCTCTGCCTCCTCCTCTTCCTCCTCTTCCTCTTCCTCTTCTTCATCTTCCTTTTCCACCTCCTCTTCCTCCTCTTCCTCCTCTTCCTCCTCCTCCTCCTCATCCTCCTTCTCCTCCTCCTCATCCTCCTCCTCCTCTTCCCCCTCCTTCGGGTACTGCCAGAAGTGCCTCTGGCCCAAGGTGCCCCCAGGACTTCCAAAGGAGGCCCCCACGGCCTCCTCCAGAGCACCCCTCGCGAAGTCCAGAGGGCCCCAGGGCCCCAGGGGCTCACAAAAAATTCGGCGAAGAAGGCTGGGGGCACCCTGGGCTAAGTCGGGCATGTCTCTCTACAGGAGGAATATTAAGGAGGCGATTTCTGGGGGCGTTGTCCCCAGTTTGTTTGATGATTTGTTGCGCATTTGTTTTGGATATGTTTGATTTTCCGTCCAAAATCCGCCTGTAGGAAGACAAGCCCGACCTAAACCTTGGGCCAGGTGCACCTGTAGCATCCCTCCCCCTCCAGTCGCTCGAAGCAGCGGCCCGCCAGAACGACCGGAACGACAGCCACGTGGCCGTTCCTCGTTCCTGGAGGAAGAAGAAGAGGAGGACGATGACGAGGAGGAGGAGGAGGAGGCGGAGGAGGACGACGACGACAACAACGACAACAACGACGAAGAAGACGACGGACGACGACGACGACGACGACGACGGATGAAGACGACGACGACGACGACGAGGGATGACGACAACGAAGACGACGACGACGAGGGATGATGACGACGAAAACGACGACGACGACGAGCGATGACGACGAAGACGACGACGAGGGATGACGACGACGAAGACGACGACGAAAACGACGACGACGACGAGGTCCGCCACCAGGGAGCCGTCGGGGAGGGCGGACGGGCCGGCGGACGAGGCACGGGGAGGCGCGGGGAGGCCAGCAGACCCACCCCGTCCCTCCCCCCGCTTCTCCCCTCGTCGCTACCGGCGCCGCGGGAGCCGAGGGAGGAGGGGAGGGAGAGGATGGCGAGGTGGAGGAGGAGGAATGCGAAGAGGTGGAGGGAAGCGAGGAGAATGAGGATGAGGATGAGAAGGAGGACCAGGAGGAGGAATGCTAGGAGGAGGAAGGCGAGGAGGATGAGGAGGAGGAAAAAGAGGAGATGGACGAGGAGGAGCGGGGCTCGTCGACGCAAGGGAGCGCGCCAGCCGCTCCGCTCTGGACGGGAGGAGGAGGCGAAGAGGAGGGCGAGCAGTGGGAGAAGGCGGAGGGCAAGGAGGGCGAGGAGGGCAAGGAGTCGGGGATGGACAGAACCCCCTTTAGTAAAACGTGGTTTTACTAAAGGGCGCCCTCTCGAGAACCAAAAACGGACAATTCACTAATCGACGTGTCACTATTGGGGGTCCTGTCCAGCCCTGAAGGAGGGCGACAGGGACGGCGATGGGACGGGGTTGCGCCTCGCGCGCCGCGCGGCGCGCGCGGGCGCGACTGCCACCTCGCGCCCCCGGGAGGGGGGGGAAGCCAGGAGAGGGGGAGGGGAGGCACAAAGGGTCTCGTGCCGCGCTGGCGATCAACTCAATTACGATGCGCCCTCTCGGGTCCTCTACTTGTCCGGCCAAGTGCTCAGACCCGTAGCCATCGTACCCGTTCGACATTCGCCAGAACGTCTTTTGTTTAACCCGAACGCTACAAGCCAGCTGCTCCGAGCCCGACTAACGTTAAATAAGCCTCGTGAGTGCCTGCGGGGTTCCGGACACAAGGTGGAGAGCTGACTGGGACGGTGGAGGAGGGCAGGGGATCGGAGAGGGGGGCTCGAGACGGGGAGGTCCGAGGGGAGGGGAGGGGATCGGAGAGGGGAGACGGCAGGCACCGGAGTGGATGACATGGGGGGGATGCGTTGAGGGGGGCAGGCTGGCACCACAAGAGGAATGGAGGGGAGTGGGCCTGGGGTTCGGGAGAAGAGGGAGGACGAGGAGGAGCAACGGAGGGAGAGAATCTGAGGAGAATAGGGTTCGGAGGAGGAAAGGGGGGAGGGAGACGCTTGCACAGGAGAGGAATGAGGAGAACGGGAGCAGCGAGAATGAACGATGGGTAAGAGAAGGAAGACCACGAGTACACATATTGAAAGGAGTTACGTAGAGGACGACGGAGATGGGAAAGGGCGGAAGACTAAAATCGCGCCTCCGTGAAAGGTACTTGGGATGTGAGATGAGAGGAGGGCGGGCCGAGATGGAATGGGACACCGAGTAGGGGCGACGGGTCGACGACAAAAAGAGAACCATCCTCTTCAGCCTCTTCTGACACCCTCACCCACCTCAATCCTTCCCCGCCTCTTCCTCCCACCCTCCCTTCTGCTCGTCCCTCTCCCTCATATGTCCTGCTCTCCGTCTATATCTCTCAGTACGCATACACACGTTAATCGATATTGTGTTGTGTCTGTTGTCTATCTCTCTCTCCTTCGGTGCCATTATCTATGCTCTGTCCCCCGTCTCTCTCTCTCTCTCTCTCCTCCACTCTCTCGTTTTTTTGTATGTGTTCTCTCTCTCTTTCTCCTTCTTTCGTATTATCCTTCTCTCTCTCTCTCTGCCTCTCTCTCTTTGTATGTGTGTGTGCTCGCGCGTGTGTGTGTGTGTGTGTCATGTGTCCCTCTCTTCCCTTTCTTTTTTTTTTTGTTTCTCTCTCTCTCTCTCTCTCTCTCTCTTTCTATCGCACGATGTGTAACTGTCCCTGTATCCGGCCCTCCCTCTCGTCGCTGTGTATGGCTCTCCCTCTATGCCCCTCTCTCTCTCTGGCTTCTCTTTTTTTGTTGTTCTCTCTCCCCCTCTCTCCCCCTCCCTGTCGATCCACCACCGTGCCATTGAGGCACGATATGGAGTGCCCTCAAGTCCTAGGCCTAACCGCGTGAGCCTCAGGCCTCAACCCCGAGGACTTTAAAAGACCTGGACCCCACATTGCTAAATCTCTCAGGGCTTCCCGCCGTTCCCCTGGGCCCCGCCGCGGCCTGTCGCAGGACCTTCCGGGCCCCAATAGCGACCAAAGACGGCCCAAGAGCGTCCCAAGAGGCCTCCACGACTGGTCACGAGGGCCTAGAATTAGGTCGGTCATGTCCCTCTGCAGGCGTATGTTGGAAGAAATTAAACCATGTCAAAAAATCAACAGAAACAGTCAAAAGAGCACGAGAAATCGTTACCAGGCTTGTTCTTTTTTATTATTTTGAATATTCCTCCTGTCGAGGGACATGCCCAACTTAAGCTTGGAATCGCCGAGCAATCGGCCCTCTGGTCGGCGGAGAAACAACAAACAAGCCCAAGACTTCATCGGAGACCCTCGAAGAGCCCTTCCCCAAGAGGACCCTGGGAGGCCCAAGACATTGTTGTCCCTGATGTTGTTGAATGCTCGCTTGGGTTCTCCGCCTGGTGAACTGTATATGTGTAGATGTATGCATACGTATACGTTGAAGTTGCATATGCACATACATACATACATACCTACATACAGTCATATACATTCTCCTAGACGTGCACTTATGTACACATATACACAGACATACATACATCTATACTTCCAGCACTCAAACCGCCCCCAAAACGGCCCCAGAGCGCCCCCCAAGATGTCCCCAGGACAGCCCAGGAGGCGCCCAAGACAGCCAAAGAGGGCCCCAAAACAGCCCCAAGAGAAGCAACAAGCACGGAAAATCAGAACCGCCCGCCCCAACAGCCGTCCAGGAAACCCCAAGCGGCCCCAAAGAGGCCCCAAGAGGCCCCCACGAGGAACCCCACGATGACCCAAAAGCCCCAAAGAGGCCGGCCAAAAAGAGGCCCCAAGAGGCCCACAAACCGCCCCCCAGGGGCTTCAAAACTGCCTCCTGGAAGCCCCTGGGAAACCCGAGAGGCCACCACGAGATCCCAACAAACATGCAAGAGGCCTCAGACCCACAATCCAAACACGGTGGTTGGATGGGTCGACGGCCACCCTCCCTCCTCATCTATCCCTCTCCCTGTCAATATCCTGGTTCCTCCCCCCTCCGTATATATCCCTCTTTTGTTCCCTCACGCACACATGCCCTTCATCTATGTCATTATATAAATGCTGTTGTTATTGTTCTCTCACACACTCGCTCTCCGTTTCCCACACACACACACTCGCGCCCTCGTTCTCCCCTTGTAACTGTTTGTTGTTGTCTAGCTTCCTCCACATAAAACTATTCACATGTATCGATACAACAATAAGAATATAGTAATCGGTGTGAATGTGGGTGTGTTTGTGTGTTGCGTGTGTGTGGCATCGTGGCATCCTTTATGCACACATATATATATATATGTACATATGCATACCCATGTGTGCGTCTATATGTCTAGTTATGTATGTGTATCTATTTCTATGTTGCAAAACCTGAATGAGTTTAACATCGTTGCGACCTGTTCCATCCTCTTTTTCATGTTCCATCCTCCCTCTCCTTCCGACACCTTCCCCCATCCTCCTGCCTCATATGTCCTCCTGCTCCTCCATTTCATAATGTTTCCTGCTCCACCTGTCATTCCTCCGTCCCTCTACTCCTCTCCTTCCACCTTCGTGTCTTTTTCCGTCTCTATTACCCTGTTGCTACTGATGCTGCTCCTTTTCCTCTGTTTCCTCCTCTTCCTCAACTTCCTCTTCCTCCCCCTGGCTCATCCCTTCCTCCACATCATCCAACATTCCTTTTCTGCATCCCCCATCCCCCTCCACTCTTTTCTACGTGCTCCTCGCCCTCCTTCACTAGACAAGACCCGGCGGCACCCGACTGGGTCCCCACCCCCGTCACCAAAAGGGACCTTCTGGCGTTGGGGTTATGGTTCCGGGTCCCCAACCACGGAAAAAAACACCAATTGGACGCAGCCTTTTGGAGGACTGGCCCCGTGGCAACTGCGTTACGCGAGGAGAACTGCAAGCATGGGCGGCCCGTCAGGGGCGAGATGGGAAAGAGAGGAAAACAGGGCGTCGGGCGGGGGGCGGTCGCGGTGGTCGGCCCGGTGATCGTAGAAAACCTTCTGGTGGCGGTGGCCGTAACCGCCAGCACCGCGGTCGTTGTGGCGGTTGTTGTGGTGCTGTCGCCGAACAAATGGTGGTTGTGAAGGGCGCCGAAGTGCCGTGGTCAGAGGGGTCGTGCTGAACGGCGTTGGAAGCAAGTACCTGGCACATGCCCAGGGGTGTGAGCAACTGGGCCCGTTTTAGGCTCCCGGGCCTGTCACAGACACCACTTCAGGCGGCGCTCAAGAGCGCGCGCGCCACCTTCCGGACCACGCATGTGGAGATGGTCCGGAGCAAGGTGCTCAGAACCTCTTAGCGCCCAGGCCCTTCCGGTATTTGCCGCGCTAACGGTTTTCGCATGGACTTGCCCATGCTCCCTGAGACTTCAAGCCCAAGGGGCTGGAAGCCTGCGAGGCCATTCTGCTTGCGGCGCTTGGCTTGTTTCGCAAGTCTGGCGGCGGTGCCAAGGGCGTGAACCGCTCCAGCCTGCAAGCTCTGCTGCGAGGCAAAATGCACGATGGTCAATCAAAATCTGCTCATTGGCCATCGCTGTCGGTGCATGTGAGGTCGGCGCGAAGACCCAGGTGCGCTGGCCCGTTGGGCGTGTGGACCAGAGGTTCGACTCCAATGTCGGAAATCTTCACATAGGGATCAGGGCGATGGTGTCACGCAGTGAAGAGCCTCCTCCTCCCTCCTTCTCCTCCTCCTCCTTCTCCTCCGCCTCCTCCTCCTCCACTCCTCCTCCTCCTCCACCTCCTCCTCCTCCTCCTCCCCCTCCGCCTCCTCCTCCTCCTCTTCCTCCCCATACCTCCCAAACTCCTCCGTGTTCTCCCTCACTCCCCTTTCTGCATCCCCCCACCCCACCCATCCCCCCTCCTCTCCCTCCACTCCTCCTGATCCTCCTCCTCCTGATCCTCCTCCTCCTCCTCCTCCTCCTCCTCCTCCTCCTGCTCCTCCTCCCCCTCCCCTTCCTTGTCTCTCTCCCTCCTGGAGCATCTTTGGGGGGGGGGGGGGGGGGGCGCGCGATCCTCCTCGAGGCCCTGGGTCTCGGACCTCTCGCCCAGGTCTTCGGCTTCACCTGCCGCGCGACGGCGGCGAGGCGGCGAGGCGCGTCCCGCCGTGCCGCCGGGGGCGCGGGGCCCCGGGACGCGGGCGGGCAGGGTACTGACAGTCGAAACTGACAAGAAGGATACGCCTTGGTAGGGGAGCGAAGAATGACATGAACATACGAGCTCGGAGGTCCGCGCGGACTTCTCCGGGCACCCTGGCGGCGCCTCCGCAACCGCCCCTGGCGCGCTCCGCGCGCCAGGGAGGGGGTCAAGCGCGGATCCAAGAAATCCGCGCAGACCTCAGAGTTTTTGTTGTTTATGCCATCTCTCGTTCCCCCAGATGAGGGTGCAAATCCGTTGGACGCCCACGCCGAAGCTTTCCGAGCGGGGCTGGCCCGTCGAGAGTGGTGTAGGATGGACCCCGGAGGCAGGGACGCAATGGTGTCGTTGGGAAGGCTGAGTGCCCACCCTTACCATCGATTTCGATTGCGGTGTCCTGGTGTCCCCCCCGCAGCGTCCCCCCAACAAGCACCCTGCACGCGCTGTTCAGGGCGCCCACGGGCCGCGAACAACGCGGAGAGGAATGTTAGGGGGCAACTGCTGGAAGGTCTTAGTCGGAATGACTGACGGAGATTAAACCCAGTGGGGGCTACTGCGACGGATTCTGCCGCGGATTGAGCGGGATCAAGCCGGATGAAGCAGGATTAAACCAAATTAAATTGGAACTGGCCAGATTAAGCCGGAGTCGCCCAGAGTTCGGAGCAGGGCAGTCTGAATTTTGACTTCCCAGGAGATGCATCCGAACACATGGGAGAAGGAGCAGCAGGCAAGAGAACGAAGAGGGGGAAAGAGACACCACATCCTCTTCCCGCTCAGCCTTGTCCACATGATGGGGTGATCGACGCGCGAGGCATGCGGATGGGGCCGCGGGAGGAGCAGGTGCACGAGGAGGAAGGCGGGTGGAGAGGAGGCTGGAGGGAGTGACGGCGAAAGCGATGGAGATGGCAGGGGAAGGAGGCAGAGACGAGCCCACAACTGCGAAGTCAGCCACTGCTGGCAAACACTGAGGCCGGCTCGGAAGGCTGGCGCTCCAGAGGCGGGGACCCCCTCTCCCCACAGGCGGCGTGACCGCCACGCTGGGCAGCACCCGTGGGGGCGCGCGCCTCTCCCCTACCCCCCCCCCCCTCGATCGCGCGGAGCGAAGTAGTAGGGGCGAAGGCGACGAGGAGGAATGGGGGAGGACGAGGACGGAGAGGGTCGACGCGCATCAAGTGGGGGGTGGAAGGAAGGTCCACGATCCTCACCCTGCACACCAACTCTGCCCCCACTGCCCAGGCCCCTGGGCAGCCCTCGCCAGCCAGCCCTGGACGCGGACGGGGAGGACGAGCAGCACGAGGCCGGAGGAGGCCGAGGACGGAGGGGGGACGAGAGACAGCCGAACGAGGGAGCGAAGCGAAGAGGGGCCGGGAGGAGATGCGGGGAACGGGCGAGCCGGAGCCCGGGAGGCAGTTGGGGGGGCAACGTGCGGACAGCGGCGTCGTCGCCCGCCTGTCCACCTCTCCTCCCAGTGGCCCCTGTTGCTGCCGCCCTCCTGGCTGATCCAACATACGACGCCGTTGTCGGTTGTCGGGGCTTGTCGGGGTTTGTCGGGGTTTGTCGGTCGTCGGTAGTCGGTCGTCAACGTCGTCGTCGTCGGCGGCAGCGGCGGGTCGCCCATCTCCGAGCCCGTGGGCTGCCTCAGCATCTCCTCCCCCTCCTGGGCCTCGTTGAACTGCTGCTTCAGCATCTCGAACAGCTGGCGTTGGTTCCTCCGCGGTGCGCCTCGCATCCCCTTCCCCCGCCGACTGCCAGGCTTCACCACTCTTCCTCCTCCTCCTCGTCCTCGTCCTCCTCCTCCTCCTCATCATCCCTCCTGCTGTTCAACCTCTTCCTTCGCCTCCTGCTCCTCCTCCTCTTCCTCGTCATCCTCCTCGACATCACCACCAACGTCACCATCACCATCACCATCACCATCACCATCACCATCACCATCACCATCACCATCACCATCACCATCACCATCACCGACGCCACCACCATCACCATCACCATCACCATCACCATCACCATCACCATCACCACCACCATCACGATCACCATCATCATCAACACCAGCAGCGTCCTCAGCAGCATCATTTCCTCAACATCAGCATCATCATCATCACCATCACCAGCATCAGCATCAGCAGCATCATTATCACAATCATCATCGTCATCGTCAGCGTCATCGCCGTCGTATCATCATTGTCATCACCATCAACATCACCACCACCATCATCATCATCATCATCATCATCATCAGCCTCATCATCATCATAATCATAATCATCATCATCATCATCATCAGCATCATCATCATCACCAACATGAGTATCACCATGATCATCATCATCATCATCATCATCATCATCAGCATCAGCATCAGCATCATCATCATCATCATCAGCATCAGCATCAGCATCAGCAGCATCATCATCATCAGCATCATCATCATCATCATCATCATCATCATCATCCCCTCCCCTCGTCCTCATCTATCATGCCGTTCACCCGCCTCCTCCTCCTCCTCCTCCTCCTCCTCCTCCTCCTCCTCCTCCTCCTCCTCCCCCCTGCCTCCTCCTCCGTCTCCTCCGTCTCCTCCTCCTCCTCCTCCTCCTCCTCCTTCTCCTCCTCCTCCTCCTCCTCCCCTTAATCCTGCCCCGCCTCAACCCAACCTCCCCGGCTCTCGCCCTCAACTTCCTGTCCCTCCTCCTCCTCCTCCTCCTCCTCCTCCTCAGACTCCTCCTCTCCTTCTCCTGGACCTTGTCCCCTCCCTCCTTCTCCTCCTGGACCTTGCTGCCCTCCCTCCTCCTCCTTCTCCCTCTCCTTTTCCTCCTCCCCCATCCACCGACTCCTCCCCCCCTCCGTCCTCCTCCTTTTCCGCCTCTTCCTCGTCCTCCCCCCCTCCTCGTGCTCGCCCTTCTCCTCGCCGCTGCGGCCTGGGTCGAGCAAGCGCCAGTGTCTTCGCCCACCCAGTATCAGCTGGGCGGAACGGTGGGCCACTTTGACGCCCATGCGATATAGGGGAGGAGTGGTACCAGGAGACGCCATGGGAAAACCATCAACAAAACAAAAAAACATAGTACTTATCCACCCGACCCCCGCGGTCTTCAATCAGCTTCTCTCTCCCCTTGCTGGGGTCTGGCAGACTTGACACGACGCTTCACAGACCCCAGTAGGAGAAAAGGAAGGGAGGCGGGAGAGCAAAAAGAGGCGAGACCACCCGAACCACAAAGGGTCCACCGAACTCCAGGGGGAAGGAAGGAGGAACGCGAAATGGACCCGGCCGGACCGCAGGAGACCCCAAGCGCGCCTCCAAAAGCGATGGGAAAGAGAGAAGGAGGACACCGGACCTTCCTCCTCCTCCGCTGCCTCCATTTCTCCCCCGTCCCCCTGCCTTGTTGCCCTCAACGCTAGAAAAAAACTTCTAGAAATACCAAAAACCGTCCGCAAAAACCCCCGACAACATGACCAACCCGCTACAAGTTCCCCCAATTCCCCCTGCCCCCTTCTGGTCCCCACCACCAAAAACATGTCAGTGAACCCTCCCGGCTCCCCCTACGGGACAAACGAAAAAAAATATCATAGACACACGGCCGCGGAGACCCACTAGCGTAACCCCAGGAAGCATTTAAGAAACCCCCCGGCGATATCTTAGCACCGCATTTTTATTCGATATTCCGAGGGGCCGAAATAACCGCACGATAGGTTTAGCACCCGGACACACAACGAATTCGCGGAGGCCTGGCCCCTGGGCTACAATCGAAATTCGAAATTCAAATCTGCGTGGCTCTCATGAAAGACTCAGGATGTCAGGTGACTCTCTCGAAATTCTAATCTGCGTCGCTCCTGGTGCCAAGTAACGCTTCCAGGGTGCGGAAGGGTTATCGATTTGCCGGAAGGGGGGGGGGGTTCTTAACCTCATGCCCGTGAGAATAAACACTAGGGGATAATAAAGTTCGGGGTTCAGGGAGAGATAATAAAAGTAGCCCAGCAGACCTCAGCATAATCTCGAAGTAAGAGATGATCAAGAGGAGGCCAAGCCGAGCACGTTTTGTGAAAATCTCGAGTTTCAAATCTGTTTGATTTTATGTACAAGCGCTTTATGAAAATTGTGTTTTTTTGTAAGTGCTCGTGTAGGGTAGCTCATGTGTCTCAATTTCCATGGATAATCAACCCCAGAGATAAAAAAGTTCAGGCGAGCGTGGGGACAGAGAGAAATATAAAAGAAGAATAATACAGTAGAAAAATAATAAGAAAGAAGAAGAAGAAGAGGATAATAAGAAGAGGAAGAAGAAAGGAAAAATCCAAAGTTCCAAATCTATCAATTTTAATTTACAAACGCTTTATGAAAATTGATGTTTTTAAGTGCTCGTGTAGGGTAGCTCATGTGCTTCATTTTCCATGGATAATCAACCCCAGGGATAAAAAAGTTCAGGCGAGCGTGAGGACAGATAGAAATATAAAATAATAAGAAGACAATGTAATAATAATAATAAGAAGAGAAGAAGAAGAGAAGAAGAAGAAGATAAGAAGAACGGAAAAATGGAAAGTTCCAAATCTATCAATTTTAATGTTACAAACGCTTTATTGAAAATTGATTTTTTAAGTGCTCATGTAGGGTAGCTCATGTGCTCCCTTTTCCATGGATAATCAACCCCAGAGATAAAAAAGTTCAGGCGCGCGCGGGGATACATACATACATTGGTTTCGCTTGACACATCCTGAAAAAGTGTGATCGCTTCGCTTGATGTTGCTATATCAACATCGCTTGATGTTGCTATCTCAACATAGCGTTTCGAGGTGATAATGAAGTTCGGCCTCAGCGCTCGCCGCCCAATTTGAATTTTGTATAGGGCGACGATAATCAACTCTAAACACTGAAGGGGGGGGGGTCCCTTTATTATCATCGGCATGCGGTTAAATGCTTCCTGGGGTTACTACTGCCGGATACACACGGGGCCATCGGGCGGAAATTCGCCGGCCCAACGGGCCAGGGCGTGCTAAGATCTCCGGCACCTGGTTAACAGTATTTCTAGTTCGCGCGCGCGGGGCGGCCCCTGGGGGTCCCCGGACGAAAAGTACCCCGGCAAGGTCGGGCCAGAGATGCCGGAGCCCTGTTACAGGGCCCCAGGACGGGTCAAGAGGTCCCCAAGAAGCCTCCAAGACGGTCCAAGAGGGCCCCGAGACGGCCAAAGATCGCCCGAAGACGCCCAACAGGGCCCCAAGACAGCCCAAGAGGCCTCCAAGACGCCCCAAGGGCCTTCCAAGAGGCCTCCGAAGAGGGCCCCAAGAGGCCAAAATCGTTGATTTTCATTGTTTTTTCGATGTTTTTTGCGTTCTGGCTTTTTCGGCTTCCGGACGCTCCAAGACGGCCCAAGAGGCTCCCAAGACCGCTCCAAGACGGCCCACGAGGCTCCCAAGACGGCCCCGGAACGGCCCAGGAGGGCCCCCAAGACGGCCCAAGTGTCGCCCAAGACGGACCAAGAGGCCCCAAGACGGGCCCAAGAGGGGCTCAAGAGGGGAACCGAGAACTGAAAAATCGAGCCCTCCGCTCCAGAAGGCGCCCAGGAGGCCTCAAAAAGGCCCCAAGAAACCCCCAAGAGGCCCCCAAGACGCCCCAAGAGGCGCCCAAGAGGCCCAAAAGAGGCCCCAAAACGGCCCCAAAACGGCCCCCCAAAGGCCCCAAAACTCGGCTAGTCCACAACGGTGCGACAATATGGGCCGGCGGAGTGAGCGAAGCGATTAAATACATGAACGCAATCGAAAGCGACGGTAACGATGAAAATGATTGCAGAAGTGCCATTGCATCATCCTCGCCTCGTCGGTCCATCGTTACCCTTTTCGATGGGCAGCCTCGCTCGAAAAATTATCCCGGCAAAGCAACCTAACAGCGATGTTTCTAAGTATAACTGAAACATGCAGCAGCAGTGAGAGGCACTGTGATATCAACAGTAACAGTAATAGTGATGCAAAAGCTGTTGTCATCGTCGCGCTGAGCTTGATTCGATGTGTTGTCAAACAAGGTACTGCCATGGACGCATGTCGCTTGAATGACTACATGTATAAAACGAGACACTGTTATCAACGCACGGAACTGGAATAGATATATGTCCAAACGAGACACTGCTATCAACGCGTGGAAAATGAATGGATGCTTGTTCAAAGGAAACATTGCTATCAACGCATGGAGCTTGAAAGTATGTTTCTCCAAACGAGACACTGCTATCAACGCACCGACCTTGAATCCCGGGATTGCCGTTCCAGACAGCCAGATAACCCGGCGTGTATACCTCTTGTGTGCAATTTTTCCACATGTAGCCTGGGAATGGCGTTCTGGGAGGTCTCGGACACGAAGTGTTTGACTCTTGCATCCTGTTATTCCGAATGTGGCCTGGAAATGGGGTTCTGGGATGCCAAAGAGCTCGAAGTGCATTTCTGCTGCATCCCGTTAATCAGAATGTGGCCCGGGAATAAGGTTCTGGGGTGTCAAGTACGAAGAATTGTATGACTGTTGCGTCCGGCTATTCAAAATGTGGCCCGGGAATGGAGTTCTGGGAACTCGAAGACCAGGAAGTGGCCTACAGTTGGCTCCGGACATCCAAAATGTGGCCCGGGAATGGAATTCTGGGAACTCGAAGAGCACGAAGTGTGTGACTGTTGCATCCGGCCCTCCAGAATGTGGCCCGGGAATGGCGTTCTGGGAACTCTCTGAAGAGCACGAAGTGTGTGACTGTTGCATCCGGTTATTCAGAATGAGCCTGGGAATGGAGTTCTGGGAACTCGAAGAGCACGAAGTGTGTGATTGTTGGTGAAAAACGAAGTGGACTCAACCCGCCCGGCAACTCCCAACACCTGCCCGGACCCCCCTGTGGAGTGATCTGTGAGCTCTTTTGAGCCCACTAGAAACCTATCAGTCTTCGCTGTTAGGTAAATTCAACATGGTCGTCCAACGGGCTTGCACTTTTGTCGCGCACCCACCGGCGGCGTCGCATTGATGCTCCGTTGGCCTGGCCCCCCTGGACCAAGGGGGGGGGGATGTGGCCAGCACGGTGAAAAAGCGCAGCCTGTCACACCCCTGGGGGATTCTGCCCACGAGGCGGGGTGTCATCTTAGGCAGATACGGCAAACGCAAACAATAGTCAAAACAACAATAGAGCATAAACATCGTCCCCATACTATTTGTTCGACTGTTCTTGAACATTCCTTTCGTAGACGGGCACGCCCGACTTCAGATTAGTCCACTGGCCATCCCCTGGGTGATCTCGACCTCCGGGGGCCTCGGAAGGCTGCGGTCATGGATACATTTGCCCCTCTGGGCCCGAAGCACATGTCGCCGCCTGCCGAGGTTTCGGGGATCTTCTGACCCGGATCAATCCAGATCCGTGTCAGTCAGGCAACGCGCACCCCTGCAAAATCCTGCCCCCGAACCTAGGTCAGTGCGAAAGAGCATGCGGGATCCTGCAAGATCGCGCACCCAAACCCGGATCAATGCGACCCGGGCCTTACAGGATCCTGCAAGATCGGGTGCTCTGGCTGATCCCCGTTTGCATCGACCCCCGTTTCAAGGCTCCCGGAAACCCCTTGGAGCTCGACCCCCTGGGCGGCGGCCATTGATGCATCCCCGCCTCGGATGGGGTTCCCGTGCAGAGGCTGCTGCGGGCGCTCGTCTGGCGCGGGCAAGGCAAGGGGTGCCGCAAGGCCGAGGCCCACTTGATATGGATAACAGTTAAGACCTGTGGAGCTAAATTTTAATACAGGAACCGACACGACGACGAGGGCGGCGGACGACAGACGAACGACCGAGGCACGCGGGGCGGGGAGAAGGGAAAAAGGGACGGGCAAGAGAGGCGCGCGGGCCCGCGGCCTCGCCCGCGCCAGCTGCGGCTACGCGCAGCCGGCTAGCCCGCAGCGCCCAGCACCTCGGCGAGACCGAGGAACTCTGGCGCCGCCAGGCGCGACACCTGCCGGCCCACCCCGCCGCGGGCCGCGGGCAGGCGCCAGCCCTCGGCCACGCCGAGGCGTGGCGCGGCGACCCGGCCCGGGGCCCAGCCGCGCTGGAGGACGGCGAAGACCTCTGCGCGCACCGCCTCGGTCGCCTCCTCGGCCGCTGCGTCCGCGGACGCGGCCAGGGCCGCCGCCTGAGCGGCCTCCGCGGCGCGGGCCTCCGCGGCCTCGCGCGCTGCCGCCGCGTCTGCCAGGGACGCCGCCTGAGCGGCCTCCGCGGCCGCGCGCCTTGCCGCTACGCAGCCAATGGCGGCCCCTGCGCCGGCCTGCGGGCCCCCTGCGGGCAGCGTCGCCGCCTCCTGCGGGGCGCTGAGCCCAGCGGCCTCCTCCTCAGCCGTCAGCATGTCAGCCCAGAGCTGCCGCTAGCCCGGCTCCCGCCCAGCTGGGGCCGCCCAGCCCTGCGCCCTCGGAAGGGGTCGCGACGTCCGCGACCAGGGCTCGCGCCCCTCCGCCAGCCCCTGGCCCCCCAGCCCCGCAGGCTCTACCCGCGGAGGGGCCAGAGCAAGGTGCCCGGAGCGCTGGCCGAGTCCGGATCGCCTGCGAGCACCGCCCAGTGGAGCCCGTCGTACTCGTGCTCGATGGGGTGCTCGCCCGATTTTCATGCACATCCAGTGCGCCGCATGTTTCCCGGGAAGAGCCCAAGACTCCAAGATGCACTGAATGTGGCTATAGACATTGCCCGCAGTCTGGGTCGGTGCATCACGGAATTCTTGGGAGCGGCGTGCCAGGGTATGGGCCAGAAGATGTGCCGCCGCCTTCTTCAGACCCGGGCCTGGAGCTTTTCTCTGACCGGAGCCTTGCTCGAACTCCTCCTCCTCCTCCTCCTCCTCCTCCTCCTCCTTCGCCCTCCTCCTCCTTCGCCCTCCCCCTCCTCCTCCTCCTCCTCCTCCTGGCTGGACATGGGACAGCAGGGCCTCGCGGGTGCTGTGCTTGCGTCTCCCGACGCCTCTGGAGCCAGTGCTGACGGCCCCACCGCGCTCCGATCGGGTCCACTTGCATCTCAGATTGCTGATATTGCTGATCCCTCTTCCCCGCTACCGCTCCACTCTTTCTGACAGGGGATAGGTCGACCCTTATCCCAAGCTTCGTGGCGCTTTCGAACGGGCCAAACACTTGGGGCCCAACCTACGTAGGAAATACGATGAGGGGGGCGCCCGTGCTCGATAGGGGTGCGTCCGAATAGCCCCCGTTGGGGTGTCTCCCTGAGTTCCCCCCTTCTCTTGGCGGCCAAACTTTTCGGGCGGAGCTGGGGGATCGGGGGAGAAGCATCTCGCCTGCGACCCTCCCTCCCTCCGCGCCCCACCCACCCACCCCTGGCCTCCTGCATGCGTGCCCCCCCACGGAAGACGGCAGGTCCGCGTCCCCGTCGCGCAGGCCCGCAGGCCCCCACGGGCCGGAGCGCGCACATGGCAGGCTGTTTCCGCGGCCCGAGGGCCAGTCCTGCCATCGTCATGTCGGGCCCGTCCCCCCCTTACGCACAGGATGAATATTCAAAAATAGTTGGAAGAAAATGCGGGGACGACTGTTTCACGATGTTTGATTATTTCGGGGTATGTTCCACTATTTTTCATTTGTCGTCCAAAATCCGCCCGTATGGGGGACATGCCCGACCTAGATGCTATCACAGCCTGACGAATCATGGCCTCCCCTACTCTTCTCGTCGCATCCCCTCCCCTCTGTCCTTCTCCTCCCCTCCGCCCGCCTCTCCAACCCGACCCCCCCCCCTCGGGCCCACATGAACACCAGAACGCATCGAGGCGCCACCTTCTCGAGGCGCACAGAGGACGGGGGCAGGAGGAGGGTCCGTCTGGCGTCGACACATAAGAGGCTGCAACGAGATGGATGCGGAGAACAATGGAGATGAGGACGACGAGGGAAATGAGGGTCACAAAGAAAAAGAGGCGAATGAGGGTACGGAAGATGAGCGGATTATATGGTCGTAGTTGTATTGATAATCGTACGGGTGGGGGCGAGGACGGACGATGGTGTATGCCAGAAACGAAGAGGGGGGGAACAGGAAGAGGAGGATGAGGAGGAGGAATGAAGGTGGACGGCGTAGGAGGAAGGCAGATGAGGATGGCGGGGGTGGAGGGATGCCCGTGAGAAGGAATCGGAAAAGCTTGGGGGTTGAAGTTGGAGGAAGGTAGAGGTGAAGGAGGAAGGGGTGGTGGGGGGAGAGTTAGATAAGGAGAACAATAAGACTAAGCAGGGAGATGGAGGGGAGAACAGCTCATTCCCCCTGCCTTTAATTTCAGCGCCTGAACTAGGAAAAGTCCCGTTGGCTCATTAGACAGCAACCTGATGGAAACTGTCCACGCGAACAGTCGTCGGCATCCTTCCACCCCACTTCACAATCATTCGCTCCATCACGTCAAGGTTAGATTACCACGAAGAGTGCTAAGGAGGGAGGAGGGACAAGCGCTGAAGGATGATGCGCCACACGAAGGGAAACGGCGGCGCGGCGGGCGCACATCAGGGTGTTCCGGCCGCCAGGGAGCATGCTGGGCCTGACGGAGGGGGGCAGTCCACCTGGGCTACTCCTCCGCCTCCGCCCTTGTCTCCTCCTCCTCGCCCGCTGGCGCATCTCCTCACCCACCCCTCGTCCCCTCCTCGGCCCTGCTGCGAGCCCGCGACGTCCACCACACCCTGCTCCTGCTCCTTCTCTCGGAGGCGCGCAAACATGACTATGACTTAGCGATCCATGGATTTGGCGCGCGGTCGCCAAATCCATGGATCGGGGGAGGTGCCCTCCCCAAGTGCGGCCCATGCCGCCCCGTCCGGCGGCGAAAATCCGGGATTCTCTATGGAAACAGGACCCGTCGCTAATCCACACCCTGCTCCTGCTCCCTCTCCTCCCCCTCCCTCTCCTCCATTGTTTCCTCCCTCCACCCTTCCGTTTCTGCACGCTTGCCCAGCCGCCCCCCATCCTGCTCGCCATCCCCCCCCCCGTGCTCCTCCTCGCCTGGCGACCCCGCTCCGCACCTCCAGCGCCTCCTCCACGGCGTCTCCTCCTCCTCTTCAACATCCTCATGCTGTCCCTCGTCCTTGGCCTCCTTCTGCACTCACATGATGCACGTACGTGTGCACATATATGTTCGCCAACGTGCACACAACAAGCATACATGCAACATCCACTCGCAATCACGTAAGCAACCGCAAAAGTGTACCTCTTCCGCATGCACCTTTCTTCTATCCCTTACTCCGTCTCCTCACATGATACTCCTTCTGCCTCTGATATAGTTTACCATCTGCTCCCGTCCGCTCCCCACACCAAACACCCCTCACATGATCATATTCCATGGTCCCCTGACCTCCCATCGCTTCGAAGCTCATATTCCTATATTCTGTCATCTCCTCTCCTTGCCTGGCAGGAGGCAAATAGGCAACAAAAAAGGGTCTTACGCGAGATGACACAGCGAAGTTGCGCAGGTCGCCAGCGCGGAACGCCACACTGGAGACGAGAGCGCTCACGCGCGGCCTTATGCGGGCCACTTACACGCCAGTGTCGGCGCAGTCGAACCTGTTTTTTTTGCGTCGCTCAGCTGACGATGACGCGGACAAGGAGGATGGCCGCGAAACAAGAACGGATAAGGAAAACAAGGGAGGAGAGGGCCGGCAGGGTTCCCCCATGCGCCGAGACAGCGGGTGCCGAGTTTTTCGCGACCTCCGACTTGCCAGCACGCGCAGACCATCTCCCCCCTCTCCCCCACCTCCTGCTCTTCCCGACCCCACCGCGCGCCCTCCTCAGACCTCCTGTATACACACCTCTACCATTCAGAATCCCCAAGGAATCCCCGGTCCTTCCCACAACTTCCTTCCTCCTCCTCCTCCTCCTCCTCCTCCTCCTCCTCCTCCTCATGCTCCTCCTCCTCCTCCTCGTCCTCCTCTTGCCGCTGCTCCTCATGCCCCTCCTACTCCTCCTCCGCCTCCTTCTCCTCCTCCTGCTACTCCTCGGCTCCCCCCTCCTCCTCCTCCTCCTCCTCCTTCTCCTCCTCCTTCTCCTCCTCCTCCTCCTCCAGCTGCTCATCCGCCTCCTCCTCCTCCTCCTGCTCCTTCGCGACCCCCCTCTTCCCCGTCCCTCACCCAGTCCCAGTCGTCGTGGTCGTCGTGGTCGTCGTCGTCGTCGTCGTCGTCGTCACCGCCGCTGTCCCCACCTCCGCTGTCATCGGGGGGGATAAGGGCGTACCGATACCGCTGCTCCACCGGCCTCTTCTGGTGCGTTCTGACCAGAAATTCGAGGCGAATGCAGCTGTGGCTACGAGGGCTCTCAAGAACAAATAGTGTAATATTCTGCTACATCTTCGGGCGACCTTGTCTGTCCCGTCGCGTCCCTATCAACGTCGAAACCGTATCGAATCCATGCCGAATGTGTCGAATCCGCGCCGACTCCGCGTCGAATCGGATCCACATCGGTCCTGCGTCGAATCCGAGTCGAACATACGTCGGGCACCAGAAAAAAGGACAGCCGTTTACAGGACAGATGAGGTCCCCTGAAATTGTGACGTAAAGTATCGGTATATTTTCCTTCTCCGTTCAGTGCCCCCGCCGCCGCCGTCGGCATTCACATCCCCACTGTGCACTGCGCAATGGAGGTCGTTCTTGAAACCCTCACTGTGCATAATATCTCTCCGCTCCGCCTCTGGACCCATCGCCGACGATGCTCGTTCGGTGCTGCACGGTAGGCATTTTAGCCCGAAGGGCCCCTTGGGGGCGAAGCGCATAGCCACTCTTCCTTGTCGCTTGAGGCTCGATCTAAACCATGCGCAAGGTACCGGCACTTGCGGCGCGCGTGAATGGGGTAATTAGGGGGGAGGGGGAAGGCTTCTTAGAAGGAGGCTGCTCCTTGGAGGGCGCTTGCTCTACATCTATAGACAAGGCCGGCGCCTTCTGAGAAGCAGGGGGGGTGTTTCTGGGAAGCCTTGCCCCCTCCCCCCACCTCCCCTTGCGCGTGGGGTCGGTTTTCGCGCCGTGACTCGGGCCTCAGGTTAGGAGCCAACTACTGGGAGGTTTTCGCCAGACAGGTTAAAGAGGATCAAGCCCCATTTGGGAGCTGTTACGCCGGAGTGGGTCTCGGACTAAGCAAGATTAAGCCAGATTAAGCGGGACTAAGCGGGATTAAGCCGGATTAAAACGGATCAAGCGGGATTAAGCCGGACTTCGCACCAGGACAAAACCAGAATGTGACCTCCCAGGAATTGCATCCGAACTCAAGCGGCCGCTTGGGACGATCCGGGCACGCCCAGAATGCTCTCGGCAGGTGCTGGAGAGCGTCCCGAGCCTGGACAAACCGCCGAGGACCACCGAACGCCGCCGAAAACCGCCGGGTGCTTCCAAGAAGCCTTATCCCCTCCACCTACCCCCCTCTGCTCGGGCGGGTGGTACTGGGGGGTGGCCTACAGGGGGGGGGAAGAAAAAAGGGCCCTAAAGGCTCCTTTCGGGCCTCTTTGGGAGCCAGCAGGGGCCCCAGAGGGGCCGTAACATTCCCCTGTAGGGTTCTTTCCTTCACCCCCCATGTGGGCCACCTCCCATTACCACCCGCTCGATCTGCGGCGTGGCCCAGCAGGGTACAGGTACCGGATCCTCCTCCGATCACCCCCCGCTGGTTCACCCAAAAGGGGGCTCAGCTGAAAATGGGTGGTGCTGTAGACTTTTGGGGGGCAATGGTATTGCAGATGTGTTGCGCCGGAGACTTGCGTTGCACTGTATTGCAACGAAAGCGCTCTCAACTCGCAAATCCAACTGCACCACACCCTTGTCGCTGGAACCCCTCTTGCGTCAACCAGGCCCCCCGGCCCGCCGCCGTCGGCGGCGGCTCTCGGGCGCTCCTGGCACCCCCGTCCGTCGGCAGCGGCTGCGGCAGGTCGGCCTCCGCGCGGCGAGCGGGCCGCACCCAGCTCGGGGACCGGTCGGAGCAAGACGGAGCCAGGACGAGGACAACTTCGTTCGGTGGCGTCGTCGTCGTCGTCGTCGGCGTCGTCGGCGGCGCCGTGGCAAGATCACGGCGGGGGCCCCCAAACAGCGTGGTGACCACACCGTGTGGTGAGTCAGTGGGCACCGTCAGGGTGGGACAGTTCGGTGGCAACTCATGGGAGCCTCCAATACCATCTTGTCGGCTCTGGCGAGTCGACGCTCATCGGCGCTAGTCGACGCTAATCGACGCTGGTCGACGCTTGGTCGGCGCTATCTCATCGACTACCAAAGGCAAATTGACTCTTATCGACGCTCACGACGGAATTAAGAGGGTATAAGAGGCTCCAAGGATCTGCTACCGAAAATTCGGGTGACGACAGATGGAGAGTCTCTGAGACCCGGCGGCTCTGGAGGATGTCCCGGGCGCCGCGGCCTTCTCAGAGCGTCTGGAGCGCTTTGAGAGCGTTCCAGGAAGCTCTGGAACGGATCATTTCTCGTCGTAGCCTTAAGTCGGGCCTGTCCCCCTACAGGGGAATTCTGGACGAGAAAAATGAGAAATACCAGAAGAAAGCTCAAACATAGCAACAAAAATAGTTCCAAGACTATTGTTTTACTATTTTTGCATATTCCCCCTGTACAGGGACGGGCCCGACTTAGTCGTAGCCCCGCCCGACGGAGGCCCCCCTCGGCGGTCCACATGTGTCGGTTCGTCTTGGTGCAATTCGTCGCGTCCTGGTTCGCCGCGCTTCGGCCCGTCTATTCTCGGTGCGTCTCGCCTCGGTTCGGAATCGCTCCTACTGGCCCGCCACGTTCGGGAACTGAATCAGACATGGAGCTCGAGCTGTTCGAGCACACCGCGCGGCTCGACTACAACCAGCTCGGACTATGCGTTTAGGCAGCTAGAAGATCCAGATCAGCTCGGTCAGGATCCTGACGCCAAGGACGACCCAATCCACGATGCAGCAGCACAGCACCCAAGGACGACCCAATCCACAATACAGCAGCACAGCACAGTTCAACGCGGCATGGCATACTTGAATTTGTTACAGCTCAACCCATGGCACGGTACATCATCATCGTTACCTTGAGCGTTGCAATTGCCCGTCGCCCAAATCTGATGTTGTAGAATACTTCGCAACTTTATATCCCTTTCCGAGTTCGTGACTCGATCATGTTCTTGAAAGTGCGTCAAGCTCTGCAAGAGCGTCAGGCTCTGCAAGTCTCGTAACATCTCGCTGAAAGCCTACCCTATTCGCAGTGCCATCGGATCTGTAATCGATGTGAGAGCCCACGGAACTGCGTGAGGCGGATGACGGGCGAGCTTGCACGATAAAAATGGTGGAAGAAAAACCCAATGTCCTGCCCCCGCGCACTCCCGCCCTTGCGGGGGTGGCACAGCGAGGGAAACCTCCCAATGTCCTCTGATTTTGGAATGTGGACCCCTGAACGGGTATGGAAAAAGCAGGTACGACGCCCAACGACAAATGTTCAAATGTTCTCTCAAACAGACAGCGGCCTCTGTTGGGCAGGTGGCCTTCTGTGTCACATGAGCAAACTCCGCGGCGACACTGACAACGAGCCATCTTCAAAATGAACAGAACCTGCTGTTGGACGTTGTGCCACTTGTTTCCATGCCCCATGCCAATGTTCAATCGTCTCGAACCCTGGGAAGGCCACGGACTCCGTGCCACTTCCGCCGGCGCTCTTCCGCCGAAGGCAAAGCACCCTCTTCCTGGGGCGCCCACCGCGAAGGCGACGGTGATGGTGACGAGGATAGCATTTTTGTCATTCGCGGCCATCGAGGGCGTGATAGGGAGGGGAATATATGGCAAAACATCCACCTTCATCATAACCACTCCGACGAGCGAAGCCGTTTAGCAAACGCATCCAAAGAAGAAATCGAACAGGGTAGAGCTGTTTAGTAAACGCCCAGGGCCGTTCAGCAAACGACAGTGATCGGGTCCGGGTGCTTTTCTTCTCTTGACGGAAGGGGGGGGGACGGAAGGGGGAATCACGCAGCACCCCCCCCCAAAACTGTGGTGCTGGACGCACGCCGGCAGTGCCGGGGACGCACTGAGAGGGGGGAGCAGTACGTCATGTGGGGGGGGGAGGGGGGGGGGGAGAGAGCAAGGAGGGAGCGTTGCGTCATAGGGGGGGGGCGGGGGGGAGAGGGCAGAGGGCGTCACGCGCGTTATGGCGCAGAGTGAAAGGGGCCCTGGGACACACAAACAAATCGACACAGATATCAGGATTCCCCCTATTTTCACACATCCTCTGGGGTGTTGTCTGCGCCCACTTCCCGTAGTTTCCTATCTTTTCTGGGGGATCGACGATTCCCTGTGTCTGTGTCTTTTTCCCCCTCCTGACAGAGGGCAGCAGATTTGGACGCCCGAAATGGGTACCGAAAGAATGGGTACAATGCCCAACAGCAAATGTTGTCCCAAACCAGCAGCGGCCGCTGTTGGGCAGGCGGCCCCCCTTTCTCGAATGGACACAGGCCGCGGCGGCGTGGACAGCGAGCCCTGTTCAAAATGAGCAAGATCCGCTGTTGGGCTTTGTACCCATTCTTTCAGTACCCACCTCGCGCGTGCAGAAAAATGGGGGCGAGTCGCGGCCGCCATCGGGCTGGGGCTTCAGTAGAAATCAAACATCAGTACCTCTGGCTGGTCGGCGCGTAAGACTTGATTTAGTGGCCCTCGTGCCCAAATCCTTACTGATCACGACGAGGCCGACACCTGCGCGACGCGACGCATTCTTTCAGTACCCATCTCGTGCGCGCAGAGCAGAGACGCCGCCGAAGGCGAGGGCGACGAGGGGCGTGCGCAGCCGGGGCCCTCGCGCTCCGAGGCCGCGGCGGGCCCCCGCGGCGATCGGCCTCGCGCCGCCGACGACGACGACGACGACGACGACGACGACGAGGACGACGACGACGAGGCGGCGACGACGACGACGACGACGACGACGAGGCGGCGACGACGACGACGACGAGGCGGCGACGACGGGCGGCGGGCCTGCCCGGTGCCGTGCTCGCTGATGGGGCGCAGCGCGGACGCGAGCGAGGGGCTGACGTGGCTCTGCGACCTGGCGGGCCGCACTCCGGCAATCGATCTCTCTCCGTGCCCCACCTCCTGGTCCTCCTCCTTCTCCTTCGCCTCCTTCCGTCCTCTCCCCCCTCCACTTTCTGCCTCCTCCGCCTCCCCTCCTCGTCGCCCAATCCTCCCAGCCTCTCCTCTTCCCAGCTCCCTCTGCCCCTCCCCTCTCCTCTCCTCCTCCTTCTCCTCCTCCTTTTCCGCCTTCTCCTCCTCGCTTTCCCTTCCTCCTCGTCGACCCCTCCTCAATCCTCCTCCCGTCGCCTCCATTCCTCCCTCACCCTCCTTTTCCCCCCCTCCATCCTCTAAACCTCATCCTCCCAAGCATGCCTCCGCCTCGTCCTCCTTCCTCGCGCGGCTGACGCCGCCGTCCCAGGGAAGGGGGAAAGGAGGAGGAGGACGGGACGAGAGGATGGGGAGGGAAGGGAGGTGCAGCCATCGTGCTATCATAGGAAGCGCTGCGCTGGAAGCGAAGGGTACGGTCTGGCCGCGGCAGGCCCGACGTCTGGAACCCGAGTTGGCGGGGGATATGGATCTAGTTTGGCCTCACTGGGCAATATCGGGCCCGGGGGGCCATTAAACAAGTACCCGTCGGTCGGAAGAAATCGGTCGAATCATGAAATCGGAAGGCGTTGAAAACAAAAACACGATGGCGACCTTATTGACGGGCTGGGGTCCCATCAATAATGGAAAACCCGCGCTTCTCCGCGGCACACGCCACACAACAACGACGACGACTATGATTACGACAAAGACGGCGATACGAATACGGCTACGCTTACGACTGTGATTCATAGATTGTGGGCAACGCTTTCGGCGAAGAATGTGTCGATCTATGTTGCGATCCTCTAATCACGACCACTACCACTACAACAACCACGACTACAACCCCAACCACTGATGAATGTTGCCATCCTCGTGATGGGGATGCTCACACATCCTCTCGCGTGTTGGGTCGCCCAGTGGATTATTCTCTGGGGAAGAACCAATCCAAAATGATCTCCGCCGTGAAGACGACAATGAGGGGAGGAGGAGGAGGAGGAGGAGAGGGAGGAGGAGGAGGAGGAGAAAGGAGAGGAGGAGCAGGAGGAGGGGCGGGTTCGTTCCCCGTTGGGGGGGGGGGCAATACTAAAAACACACATCGGTTAGATAGAGCTTCCGCCCGCCCCTTAGAGAGGAGGGGCGAGAGGTAAAACCTCTCGACCCTTGACGCAGGAAGGCGCCGACAGCATATTCGAATTGGAGGATCCAGTAGCACCTCCTTCCAACGACCCCGGCGGGCACAACACAGGATGCAGGGCTGGCCCGAATCGTGTTCGCGCATCGCGCGCCGCGCGCCGCATCGAGGCACGATCATCTTGGCGCACTCGCGCCGCCACCTCGGCACGACAGCCGCGCTGGCCCAGGCCCGCGACGCGCGCTGGCTCTGCGCACCCCCGTGGGCGACCTGGATTCGGCGGCGGGCGTGAGAGGGGGGGGGGGGGGAGTGCGACGGGGACAGCCTTCTCGGAAGGCGACGGGGCCTCTCGGAACCCCCTCGGGCCTCCCGAGAGGTCGTCTGTGTCTTCGGCGAAGACTGAAGCACTAGCCTTCCGAGGAGGCCCGCCCCGTGTCCCCCCCCCCCCGGTCGCCGCCGAGAAGTGCCTCGAACGTATCGAGCCGCTGGACGTTCAGGAACGCCACAGCGAAACGCAAGGCAAGGATGCAGGCGGACCATCCCCCCGCAAGGGCGCCCTCTTCCCACGGCGTGGGCACCACCACCGTCGTCGTCACGGAGCACGGAGCCCCGTGCTGCTCGAAGTGGCCATGGCCCAATGCATCCCCTGATTGTCACACCACTTCGGAGCCCCGAAGGGAGAGAAAAGGCAGATCCGTTCAAAATCGGAGGATTCTGGCGGGGATAGTACGATACGTTTTGAACATGAAAAAACTACATTAATAATCCGCTGAGCAATTAAAGCTGTAGCACTGTAGGGTGCTACAGCAAATCATTCTTAACGGCGGGCATGCTGTAGCTGCAACGAAGCTAGCGTGCGGCGGCCTGGGAGGGTTATGACTTCGACAAGGTTGCCCGAAAAAATGGGCCAAGCCGCACAAAAAAATAAGAATGGCATTTGGTGCGGAATGTCCAGAATCAGAAATGAATTCCCAATGCAAGGGGTAATCCAGCATCTCAGAGACAATCGAACAAAAATTGCCCGAGAAACGCCAGAGCCAGGAAAGGAAAAAGGAGTTTGAAAGGAATGTGATGCGGAATTCCAAGATCTAAACAAGAAGTTCGAATACCAGGGGTATTTCTGCATCTCAGCGACAATCGAAACATACTTGCCCGAGAAGCTCCAGGGCCAGGAAAGAAAAAGGGTTAGACAGGAATTTGGTAAGGGATGTCCAGAGTTAGAACGAAAATCCGAACACCAGGGGTAATTCTGCATCTCAGAGGCAATCGAATCAGAATTGCCCGAGAAGCGCCAAGGCCAAGAAAGAGAAAGAAGTAGGAAAGGACTGCAATGCGGAATATCCAGAGTTAGAAAGGATTGTTTGGAAAACCATGGATAATTCTGCATCACAGAAACAATCGAATCATAATTGCCCGAGAAGCGCCAGTGCCAGGAAGGAAACAGGAGTTAGAAAGGAATGAGACAAGGATTTTCCAGGGTCAGACAGGAATTTCGTATACCAACGGTAAGTCTGCATCTCAGAGACAATCGCCAGGGCAAGGAAGGAACAAGACGTTAGAAAAAGAACGTGGTAAGGAATTTCCAGAGTTAGAAAGGAATTTCGAATACCAGGGGTAATTCTGCATCTCAGAGACAATCGAATCAGAATTGCCCGAGAATCGCCAGGGTCAGGAAGGACACAAACGTTAGAAAGGAATGCGTTAAGGCATTTCCAGTGTTAAAAAGGAATGTCGGATACCAGGGGTAATTCTGCATCTCAGAAACAATCGAATCATAATTGCCCGGGAAGCGCCAGGGCCAGGAAGGAAAATGGAGTGAGAAAGGAATATGTCAAGGAATTTCCACGATTAAAAAGGAACTTCGAATCCCAAGGGTAATTCTGCATCTCAGAAACAATCGAATCATCATTGCCCGGGAAGCGCCAAGACCAGGAAGGAAAATGGAGTGAGAAAGGAATGTGTAAAGGAATTTCCATGGTTATAAAGGAACTTCGAATCCAAAGGGTGATTCTGCATCTCAGAATCAATCGAATCATCATTGCCCGAGAAGCGCCAGGGCCAGGAAGGAAAAAGGATTTTGAAAGGAATAGGATAAGGGAGTTCAAATACCAGGGAATTCGACTTCAAAGGAATAAGATAAGGACGAGGAATTAGGAATTAGAAAGGAATTTCGAATACCAGGGGTAGTTCTGCATCTCAGAGACAATCGAATCAGAGTTTCCCGAGAAGCGCCAGGGCCAGGAAGGAGAACATGAGTTAAAAAGGAAGGCGTTGAGGAAATTCCAGAGTTAGACAGGAGTTTCGAATACCAGCGGTAATTCAGCATCTCAGAGACGATCGAATCATAATTGCCAGAGAAGCGCCAGGGCCAGCAAGGAAAAAGGAGTTAGAAAGGAATGTGCTGAGGCATTTCCAGTGCCAGAAAGGAATTTCGAATGCCAGGGGCAATTCTGCATCTCAGAGACAGTCGAGTCAGCATTGCCCGAGAAGCGCCAGGGCCAGGGAGGAAAAAATGAGTTAGAAAGGATTGTGATCAGGAGTTTCCAGTGTTAGAAAGGACTTCCGAATGCCAGGGGTACCTCTGCATCTCAGAGACTATCGAAGCATAATTGCCCGAGAAGCGTCAGGGCAAGGAAGGAAAAGGGAGTTAGAAAGGATGCGATAAGGAATTCCCAGAGTTAGAAAGGAATGTCGAATACCATAGTCAATGATGATTCCAGAGACAGTCGAATCAGAATTGCCCGAAAATCGCCAGGGCCAGAAAGGAAAAAGGAGCTAGACAAGAATTCGGCAGGACATTTCCGGAGTTAGAAAGGAATTTCGAATACCAGGTGTAATTCTACATCTCAGAAAAACTCGACTCAGAATTGAGCGAGAAGCGGCAGGGCCAGGAAGGAGACAGGAGTTAGAAAGGAATCGGATACATAATTTCCAAAAATAGACAGGAAGTTGAAATGCCGGGGGTAATTCTGCACCTCGCAGAATCAAATTTCCAAACTCCTGTTCAAACTCCCGGTTCCTTCCTGGCCCTGGCGCTTCTCGGGCAATTATGATTCGATTGTCTCTGAGATGCAGCGGTACCCCTGGCATTCGAAAGTCCGTTATAACACTGGAAACTCCTGTTCACAATCCTTTCTAACTATTTTTGTCTTTCCTGGCCCTGGCGTTCCTCGGGCAATTATGACTCGATTGTTTCTGAGATGCAGAATTACACCTGGCATTTGAAGTTACTTCCTAACTCTGGGGATTGTTTTATCAAATTCTTGTCGAACTACCCCTGGTATTCGAAATTCCGTTCTAACTCTGGAAATGTCATATCAAATTCCTTTCTAGCTCCTTTTGTCCTTCCTGGTCATTTTTCTCAATTTCGGGCAATTCTGCTTTGCTTGTCTCTGAGATTCAAAATTCTCCCTGGTAATCAAAAGTCCTTCCTAACTTTGGGAATTCCGCATCAATTATCATTATGACTCCTTTTGTTATTCCTGGCCCTAGCGCTCATCAAACAAATCCGTTTCGATTTTTAATTTGCATTCAGAATGTGCCCCGGCATTCGGAATTCCAATTCCAACTCGAGAACATCATTTTTTGAATTCCGTTCCAACTCTCTAGCAATGTAGAAACAAAAAACCGTCTTGTCAACACTCTGGGCCTGCAGTGTCAATTCCCGTCACACTGATTCGCGCATTTGCATGCAACGCGCGCTGAACACATAATTTCTCAACCAATTCACGCTGTGCTGTCGCTCAAGAAAAACTATATTAAAATATGTTCCCGGGGGCGGTAAGTAATGATGATGATGACAAGGGCGACGATGATGATTACGGTGATCCTGGGCGCTCGGCACAAG